TGGGAGACCTGGAAGAAGCTCCTGGCTTTGGACTGGCTCAGCGCCGGCCGTTGTGGCCACATGGGGAGTGAACCAGCAGATGCAAAGGCCTCCCTCACTGTTGTCCTCTCTGTAAATCTGCCTTTCAAATAAAAATAAAATACACCTTCAAAAACAGTTTCCTTGGAGACGAGTGTGCTTCCCTCTGTCACCTACATGATGCATCCGGGCGTGCATGGAGCTTCGTGAAGCTGGTGGTGGCTGCCACGCCAGCTTCTGCCCCTTCCCTGCTGGAAGACATCCGCCCACACAGCCGGAGGCTCTGAGCCTCAGGACTGCTTTGTACCTTCCGGGTGCTGTTCCGGCTCCGCTCACCCAGTGCTGCCCACACACCCCGGGTGCTGCCTTCCTGATGCAAACGCTTCTGTCCTCGGAGGCCCATGGTTAATTCACCCGGCTCCTCCCAACGGCCACCTGCTGCCCCCAGATGCGTACCTGCCAGGATCCCTGTGAGGAGGCCCAGGGAACCGCTTGCCTCCTGAGGGTGCTCAGCAAAGTGGCATGAGGGGGCTGGTAACCTCAGGTAGAGGCCAAAAGCTGGTGGGGTGAGAGGGCAGGATCCCAGGAGGCAGCCCCAGAGTGATCTAACCAACCTGGCTGGTGGCAGGAGCAACTTGGCAGTGTGTGGCTGCTGGGCTGCTGGGCTGAGGGCACAGCTCCTTGGGATGGAGGTGCAGGGCGCCCAGAGGAGCTGACCGGGCCTGGCTAAGTGCAAGAGGGCCCTGGGGGTGAGAGGTTTCTGAGTATGTGGGGAGAGAGAGTGGTTGGGAGGTGCCAGGCTGGGGAAGACAGGAGCGGGGGTGGTCTGCCTCAGGGGAGAGGGCTGACACGTGCACACTGGCTGGAGCACTGGGGGTTCCAGGTGCCTCTGTTGTGTGGGTCACCGGGGCACACACACCATAGCCCGCCATCCCCCATCCACCCGGGGCTCAAATCCGAGCGTCTCCTGCATTTGCTTCTTTCCAGTCTTCCAGACTTGCTTAGCTTTTTTTTTTTTTGTGATGCAAAGTGTCCAAGTACAAAAACAGAGAGGACAGCCCCAGAGTCCACCCCAGCCCCGGTGCTGGGACTCTCGGGGGGATTCAGGGAATCCCCTCTTCCCCATTTTGAATACATGGGGAAAGTTTTATTTAAAACTTGCTGAGTATTTCAAGACTCGGTTCTGCCACAAACATCTGCAGGGTTTTCACAGACTTGTAAGTGAATGCTGGTCTAGCCCACACTGCAGCTGAGCCTCTGGGGGCAGTGGCTGTGGCACAGTGGGTTAAACCCTCACCTGTAACACCAGCATCCCACATGGGCATTGGTTCTAGTCCCGGCTGCTCCACTTCCAAACCAGCTCCCCGATTCTGTACCTGGGAAAGCAGTGTTAGATGACCAAATCCTTGAACAGCTACCACCTGCATGGAAGACCCGGTTGGCATTCCTGGGTCCGATCTTGCACAGCCCTGTGTGGCCAGCTGCGAGTGAACCAACAGATAGAAGTCTGTTGGTCTCTAGTTGTCTCTTTCATTCAAATAAACACAAATACATATAATAAATTTATTTTTTAAAGTTGTGCATTTGATTTAATGGTACATAAAGTGCCCCCCCCCTTTTTTTCTGTTTTAAAGATTTATCATATTCATTTAGAAAACAGAGTTAGGGAGAGAGATCTTTCCAAAAGGCCACAACAGCCAGGGCAAGGTCAGGCAGAAGCCAGGGCCCAGGAGCTTCTTCCAGGTCTCCCACATGGGTGAGGGGTCTGAGCACGTGAGCCAGCTCCCCAGGCTGCAGTAGTGGCTTAGTGGGGCTGGAAAAGAAACCTCCTTCTTATCAGGGGTGGAGACAGGGCTGTGACTGGTGGGGACACACTGGCCAGCTAGAAGCTGAGAGGGCAGACGGGGTGCTGGCTGAGACCCAGGAAGCCTTCCCCGCTGGATGGGTCGTCCAGGGCAGGGTTCTAAGACTCGCACATCTTCAGGGGAACGCTGATGTAGCCGGCCAGAGGCCAGAGGTGTGGGCCCCTGGAAGACCCAGCTCCCAGGAGCCGGCTGCTCAGCCGGTCCGTGCTGGCGTCCTGCTGCCCTCCTCTGGACACGCTGGGAACTGAAGCCCTTGGTCCAGCCCCGGGTTCTCTGTGCCTGATGCTGGGGCTGCACCTGCTGGCGGGGCGGCGTCCTGCGCGGGGGTGTCGCGCTCCCACGTGACCAAGAGCCACGCCATAGAAGAGTTTACGTGGACTTGGAGTTGTGTCACGGTTGTCTCCTTTGTTTGGAGAACCGACCGTCCCAGTCTTTCTGGGCAAGCTTCTCGACTCCCAGTCTTACCCTTGACAGGGGGTATCTGCACTTTGACCTCCCCTCCAGCTCTTCTGGCCCTGAAAGTCATAACCTGTGGCAAGTGTGCACTTGCCGCCAACGCTTGGGCGCCGAATGAGCCTTCCCTTTTGTGGGTCACATTGCTGGCACGCAGAGTTCAAAATGCACCACTAGGAGGCAGCGTTGACACAGAGTTCGAGAACACGGAGCCTTTTGAGGGGAGTTTTTGTTTTTCAAGTTTTCTTTTTATTTGAAAGGTAGGATTACAGAGATGGAGGACACACACACACACACACACACACACACACACACACACACACATCTTTCATCTCCTGGTTCACTCCCTAAAAGGCTGCAACAGCTTGGGCTGCTGAAGCCAGCAGATCTTCCGTGTAGATGCAGAGGCCCAGGGACTTGGACCGTTTTCTGCTGTTTTCCAAGGCGCATTTAGGGAGCTGGATCAGAAGCGGAGTAGCTGGGACCTGAATCAATGACCATATACTGTAGAAGGACATTGTGACCCTAGAAGGTCAGAGCACAGGATTACAATGGTTGGATGGTATTTGCATGAGAACAACGGACCGGATACCTTTTGTATAACTGATTGGATGTCATTTGTATAAGAACAACTGAGTGTGTACCATTCATAGAACTAAATGGATGTCATCTGTATGACAACAGCTGAGTGGACAGCATGCAGAAGGAGAACACTTGGCAGGATGTACAAAACAAAAGAGTTCCAAACAGCGGTATGGAAACAGTTGATGGGTTTTCTTGATAAGCTCAATACCTCCTTCCTTATCCCATATGACCTTTAGTGTATAAAGGCTGATGCCACTAATAAACTTCGGCGTCCGATCCTCAGAGTCCCCCTGTGTTACTGTCGGCTCCGTGCACGAGTCCATCGCTGCAGGACAGCATCAATAGGCCAGCACTGCAGGTGGAGGCTTAGCTTGCTACTCAACAATGACAGTCCCAGGGAAGGATTTCTTAAAAGAATATTATGTGTACTCATGGAATTTATGTAGTGAAATTCTGGAGATTTCTTTTGCCTTTATTACTTGCTAAAGTATGTAACTCCCACCTGCTGGTTCACCCCCAACGGCCACAGCAGCCAGGCCTGGGCGAAGTCGGGAGGGATGCAGTCCAGGGCTCCCACAGGCATGGCAGGAAGTCAACTGCTGTGGGTGTCACCACTGCCTCCGGGGTCGGGCCTGGCAGGGCTGGGTGAGTCAGTAGCCCAAGGACCACAACTATAATGTCACTATTTTTGTCTCACTGTTTTTTATTGCTGCTAGACGAGGAAATTGGGATACAGAAATTTCACATGGATTTAGTTTCACAGATTTGCAAACTGTGGAACTAAAAATCAAAATCAAGTAGAACCAAGACTCTTCTAACAGCTGTCCAGATGTCCATTCTGAGTCCAGCTCGGTGGCCTAGTGGATAAATCCTCGTCTTTCAGGTGCTGGGATCTCATACGAGCACTGGTTCATGTCCTGGCCGCTCCACTCCCATCCAACTCCCTGCTGTGGCCTGGGAAAGCAGTCGAGGACGGACCAAAGCCTTGGGACCCTGCACCCGCGTGGGAGACCCGGAGGAGACTCTTGGCTCCCAGCTTGGGATCAGCTCAACTCTGGCTGTTGTAGCCACTTGAGGAGTGAACCAGCAGATGAAAAATATTTCTCTCTGTATCTCCTTCTCTTTGTAAATCCGACCTTCCAATTAAAGAGAATCAAATAAATCTTTTAAAAATGTGCCAGCCTCGGGATGTCGGCAGAGCGGCGTGAACCCTTGCACTCCAGCTGGGCTTTGTTCACTCTGAAGGTCTTGCCTCTTCACACCTGGACTCTCATGACACAGTGGATGTCAGAGGGAGCCCTGGCAACAGTGAGAAACGGCTGCAAAGCCAGGGCTGGGCCAGGAGCCAGGAGCCAGGGACTCCATGTGGGTCTCCTGCCTCCTGTCCCACGGCTATTAGCCGGGAGCTGGATTGGAAGTGGAGCAGCTTGGACTTGAAACAGTGCTGAGATGGAAGACGGATGTACCAAGCGGCACTCCTGCCCACTGCCCTGCATGTACAACCCCTGCTCACCACACAGTTAGAGGGTGAAGCTGAGCAGTAAGCCAGCTCGCGGCAGGCTTTCCCCAGTGAAGCTTTGAGGTGGCCCTGGTTTTGTGCAGCCTACACAACCGCTGTGGGATTCCCACTCCCACGCTGTGAATTGCCCAGGGATTGGAGAGCTCTAGCGTGCCCCACAGCCTGGTGCTGTTCCTTGCTTGGGTTATAGGAGCCTGGGGGAAGGTTGAATGGAACAGGAAGAGAAGGGATGGAAGAGAAGGCACCAGAGACAATTGCATCTTTTATTTCAAGGGTGGCCTTTTCCATGTTTGGCTGGGTCATTATACAAATGGTTTTTGTTGGGAGGGCCAAATTCAAAACGACTTCGAAGTTACTTCCTACGGTGCTTTGTCCCTGCAAGTGGCCCTGACACACTTTTTTTTTTTTTTTTTTTTTTTTTTGCTTCTTGGTAACCTAAAGTGGCCAGATGTTGCCGTTTACAATCCTTTTTCCTGCAGATGGTACCAGCCTTCCTTCCCCACCCTCTCCTCCTCGCCCTCGGTGGGCACCGGCCTCCGGGCAGAAGCCCACAGCTGTAGCTACTGCGCGGACTTGACCTTCTGCTTCTGGAAGAGCTCTCTCAGCTGCTGCTCCGTCGTGGCCTCCCGCTGCTGCATGAGCTCCGTCGCGCCCTTGGTCACTCCCCAGGCGTCCGGCTTGGACAGGGAGGGGCTGTAGGGCCTGCCCGAGGCGATCCGCAGGCTCTCCCAGTACTCCCGCCTGGCCCTGCGTGGACAGGGCGCCCCGCGTCAGGCCCGGCCTGGAGCTGGACTCGGGACCCCGAAGCTGGGCGTCGCCCGGGGCGCCCCACAACCCCGCGCGCTGGGGCTCCCGAGCATGCGCAGCCAGGCACGCCCGCCATGCTGCGCCCCGGCCGTAGCTCAGCGGTGACTGGATTGTTCTCTTGGACGTAGAGACCAACAGCTAAGAACTTAGGTTGCGTGTTTTCCACGCGACTTCCGCTACCTCTGCGCCCTCTCGGGCCGCTAGCTCCCTGTTTCCTCAGAGGCCGACCTTCTAGAAGAGTCCCTCACGCCCGGCTGGCCGCACAGGTAACCTTGCCCGGCCGCAGTGCTCCTCAGGGCCTGTGCCGACGCTGCCGGCGTCCCCTCCTTCCTTGCTGGTCCCCTGGCACAGCCCCTGGTGCCCTTCCTTCGCCCTGCCCAGCCCCTGCGTGCGGCGGTGCCGACTCCCGGGGACAGGCCAGCGCCTTGGCCAGCTTGCTGCCCCGGGGGACCCCACACTGTGCGGCTGGTGTCCCCTCAGGGCCTGGGACACCCCTCCGCCCAGCAGCAGCCGCTGACCCCTTCCGCTAGAAACGCCGTCCACAGGCCGACGCCCTGGTTCTCTCAGCTGCGTTTTCCACTGCATCTCTCGCGGTTGCATTACAACATGGCGGACTGCCAGCCTGCGCTGGGGAGCCCTGCCCCCACCGCGCTTCATTTGCCCCAATGCAAATGGAGACAAGCTCAGGAGGCAGAGGCCCTGCCCATCCCTATCCCTGCAGGCCCCGGATCCGCGCTCATTGCACATGCAGCCACGGTGTTTGCGGATACCCCAGGCCATCTGCCCAGCAGTGCCCGCACGCACTCACCTGGCCCTGATCCAGGGTTTGGTGTGCATGTCCAGGCCGCTGCCCCAGCTGCCGTGCTTCTCTGACGCCGGGGGCAAGAACCCCCTCTCCGGGGCCAGCTCCTCCGCGATGGCCCTGATGTGGTAGGGCTCGAACCCGCAGCAGCCGCCGATGTAGCGGACGCCCAGGTTGTAGGCCTCCCTGGCATACTTCTGAATGTCCCAGCGGGTGGCCACGCGGGGCTCCAGGGCTGCAAGAAATGTTAGCGGGCACAGTCAGCCTGCAAGGCCAGCTGCCGCTGCTCACGTTTCTGGAGCCATCAGTGCAGTCCAGTTCTGCTGCAGTGACACCAGCCTTCTAGACGTTTCCAAGGACCCCACCCCCTCATGTCCGTTTCTCCACAAGCTTCCTGCAGTGGGAGCATTTCAGATTGGATCTGTGGGATGGATCTGTGTGCTGCAGAAGGAATATCTGGGACTTGGCAGGGCATCTGGTCTGGAGGCTGAGCTGCTTGTGGGGACAGCCACACCCCACATTTGGAGCACCTGACCCCAGCTTCCTGTCTTTGTCACCAGCATGGGAGACCTATGGAGTTCCTGGCTCCCAGCTTCAGCTCCCAACCTTGGGCTATTGTACACATCTGGGGAGTGGATCAGCAAATGGAAGCTCTCCTGATATATATACATATATGTATTTTATCCCAAAGAAAAAAATATTTTTCCTCTTGGGCTGTTTCTCCAGGTGGCTTCAGCCAGACAGCGGCGCTGCCCCGTGCCCCGGTGCATGTGTCTGCTTTCTTTGCCTGCTCAGCCCTGCCATTCTCATGGGGCCGCATGGTCCTCCCAGGGAGGCCCTGGTCCCCACCCAGCACAGCACCTCTGCAGTGACATCTGTCCTGGGGCGTTATACAGGTCTGGGAGATGACTACCCGCCCCTATTTTGCCTAGGTAGAGATTCAGGTCCAGAGCAATACGGAGCTTTTCTGCAGGGCCTGGCTCAGACCCTCCCCTCGGCCCCACCCCCGACTGCCCAGGAACCCAGAGGCCTGACCCGTTGTCATTGCTGCTTGTCTGCTGTGACTTCCTGGCAGCCCAGAGGCTCATGCTGGTTGACCACGTGGTCCTTCCAGGCTGCCATGACCCAGGGACCAGCAGACGGGACGTGTCTCTAGTGCCTACCCTGACCCCAAACACTGCCGTTTATCAGTAGGGACTACCACCCTCGCCAGCGCAGGACTCACCGAAGGGAAACTCGGGCAGGTCGATGAAGCCTTGCTTGCCACAGTCAGGCGTGTGGTAGGCCAAGGGCTGGCTCATCAGGTGTGCGTGCAGGCGGGCAGCGGCCAGGCCCTCCTTCATGAGCCTCACCGCCTGCAGACTCGTCAAGGGGTCGAAGTGGCAGTTCACGCCCACGATGGACGCCCCTGTGAGTGGGAAGGAGGACTCGGCTTAGGTGCACTGAGTGCCCATGGGCCCCTATCCATCTGCCCTCCTGCCCAGACAGCTGCTGCAGCTGGCCCTGCAAACCATCGCTCGCCGGTGGGAGGCAGCATCTTCAGGATGCTGGTGAGGGTCTGGCCCAGTTGAAGCAGCACATGCCTGTCCCGGCGTCCATCTTCCTTCCTAAATGAACCAAGTCAGCCGAGCTTTGCTCTGACTGCAGTCAGCTTCCCAGCACTGAGCGCTGTGGCTCGCCAGTGCACGAGGAGCTGCTGGCATAAGGGCAGGGGCGTCATTCAGGAAAAAGTCCTTAGGGTATGTTCTCTAGGAGGAATTTTGTGTCCCATGCCTTCAAATGATCGAAACGGTGGACTGTTAGTCATTTTGACAGGCACTGCTGGCACCTTCCAGAATCACCAGCCCTCCAGAGGGTCCTCCTCAAGTTTTCTTTTGGAAGTTGCCAGGAGGTCTGATTTAGTGAGAACCTGACAGACTGCAGACATCGCTCTCTCTCTCTCTTTTTTTTTTCTTTCATTGAAAGCAACTGTTGTGGCCATTGTGTTTGATAGCACCAGGGGTGGTCTGCCTGGCAGGGCTCATACACTGTTCTGGAAGTTTTTTTCTCTTGGAGGATTAGAGCAGGCAGTGGCTATCTGTTATCCTGTCATTTCAGAATGGGAAGAACTGTCAAAGGAAAATTTTCTGAAATTGAAAAAATTGGCCAGCCTCAGCAACCTCGATTCCATTTTCAATATTGTGCCACCATTACTGCCATCATCTCTGGAAGTTTCCGCCATCCCAAAGAGAACTTTGTGCCAGTGAAGCAATCAAGCAATTTCCCTCTTTTCCTCCCCTGGCAGTCTCCAGTCTACTTGGTAGATTTACTCTTTCTAGATACTTGTGAAGAGAAACGCTAGGAGATCTGCCCCTTTGTGGCTGGTTGATTTCACTTGGCCAACTCATGGGGTTCAGGCAGCAGTTCATGCCTGCCATGGACACCCCTGTGTGGGAATGTAGGGCTCACCCTGGGCTGCCCTGGCTCATCCCTGGCCTAGCGTGTTAGCAGAGCTGCACTCTTTCTCACGGCCGAGTTGTTTTATGTTCTGTTGAAGGACTCTTGGGTTGTTCCTAGGCCAGAGAGAAGTGCAGTTGACCAGCTGCTGGCCCAGGGGCTTGCCTTACATAGATGCCAGAAGTGGTGACAGCATGCGTTGGTGGCACTCGGCCCCCAGTGGCCAGTGGTGCACAAGGAGCTGTGTCCAGGGCTTGGTCTTCTTGCTTGTTCTGGTGAGGTCTTGCTCTCCTGAGCCTTTGTCGTGATCCAGCTGGGTCCAGGAGCTGCATCTGTGTCTCCGTGCCTTGCTAACTGTGTCAGCAGCACTTAGCCCAGTGGGCCGAGGCCTGCTCCCACCCTGGCCCGGCTCCTGGCTCCCATGGCCCCATGACCCCCGTGCCCTTTGTGTGCGGCTTCCTGCTGCCCTCGTGGAGTGACGTGTACACTGCTCCTCGAGACTGAGGAGTGATGCTGCAGTGTCCCTGCAACGTCACCTCTTCCTCTTCGCCTTCAGACCCTGGGACGTGCAAACCATCAGCATGCCTGCCTCCCACATCTCCGTCTCTGACGCTGACCTTGCTACGGCTTTCTCGTCTTCACTCGGCAGGTCACAGCCTTGCCTTCTTGTCCGGGGTGTTGTGCTGCTCACCCTTCGACCATTGACTGGCTGCCTGTTAGGTGTGCGGCTCCTTGTAAGAGGCGTATGGGGAAATGTTGTTACAGGGCCTGGCCTGTGACTAGGAGGGTTTGTGCCTTAGTGCAGGGTGCTGTAGGGTCAGGTTAAGGTGGCAGCACCAATACATCCTCCCTGTCTGATGATCCATGAAGCACAGGACTGCATCCAAGGCCCAAAGTCCACAGCAAGAGACCTGTTTCAGTTGGTGTGACCAGACAGTGCTGTGAGCATTCTTACAGACCGAACGTGCCATGAGCAGTATGCACGGGGATTGGCTGTGGCCTGGAGCACGGGGTGATCACCTGGGCTACAGCAGCCAGGTCAGGGTACCTGGGGTGGCATCTGATGAAGTATTGCAGGACAGGCTGGTGAAGGCTGTGGTAGGAGCCACATACGCCTACGCCTCTGCCTTTAGCACCCTATAGTCTAGTGGAGGGGTCAGCCAGGACACAAGCTCAGAAGGTGAGGGACAAGGGCCAGGCACTGTACCTACTAGGGACAGAGGTCCCCAAGCCTCTGGCGCATTTCCCAAGCTGACTCTCTTGTTCTTTGGTTTCATGTTTCTGGTCAAATCTAGGCCTCTAGGTAACTTATGGATGACGAGCAACATTCGTGGAGACTTGGGATTTGAGGGAGAACAGGATTTTGGACAGAGGTTCAGTCACAATTTCTCAGTTCCTTGGGGTGAGCTGGGCTCTTCCATTGGCTCCGAGGGACTCTAGGTTTTCAAGAGAGGCAGCTCTGAAAACAGTACATGATTCCTACTGGAAACAAAACCCAATACTAGGAAACAAAATTGCATAAGAGATTTATTAGTTGGTTCGTATTTGCTATGAAATAATTCTTTTGACTGATTATACCAATTACCAAGAGCAGAGTGTACTTGCGGTTTGTCAGAATGCGACAACTCTGGCAGAGAGGCCAGCTAACTTTCAAGATATTGATGTTGCAAGACCTCCCCTTGAGACAAGTTGTAAATAAAATGCCTTGTATGTTACTGCTTCTGACTTTCCAGAACGTTCTTCTCAACTCTTGGTTGCTGAGCCCACAGCACGGCTCTAGCTGCCCTTCTCAACAACCTTGGCGGCATGCATTCACCCCTGCCACGACTGAGACGGATGCCATTGCTGGTACTCCTGCATCAGGTGCCTTCGCCATTCCCGAAGCTCCCCCCCCCCCGTCGCACAGCCATGGCATGGCTCTTACCTGCTTTGACCAGACGCACGGCACACTCGCCTGGCGGCACGCCATGCAGGTCACCCTCAGGCCCGATGCACATGGTCACAGCCACTGGCTTGCCAGATGTTTTCAAGACCTCGACAGCCCACACGGCCTCTTCGACGTGCTCAAAATACTGAAAGCAGGTGGGGGTCCTTTAGTCCTGCTCCCAGCGGGACTGAACACTGACAGACAGCTTAGTAGAACTGGGCTGATTGATTAGCTTTGATCGTTTGTTTTTGTTTTTCTTTTTTACATAGAACAGAATCAAATGGTGATTTGTCAGTAGGAATTTCAGTCTAAATTTGGAAAGTACTGCATTAAATTGACTCAATCAAATATAGCCAAACACCTACATTGGAAAAAAGACTTGAGTCTTTTTCCAATGCTTTCTCAAGCCATAGGCAGGGAGCTGGGTCAGAAGTGGAATAGCTGGGGCTCAAACCCGCATCCATATGGGAGGCACCACGATGCAGGACCCTGCAGAAATGACTTTCTGGACTAACACTGCTGTCCCAACAGGTGCCCAGCCCCCGGGGGTGACAAGGAAGCACGCCAGCCCCCTGTGGCCCTCCCGTACCTCGGCAATCAGGAAGTCCACGTTCTTCTTCACAAAGACCTCCAGCTGCTGCCGGAAGATGCTCTTCACCTCCGCCTCGCTCTTGCAGCTGAGGTAGGACGGGGTCTGGCTCACGCCGCCAGCCACCAGTGCGTCTCCCTCGTCAGCCACTTGCCGCGCGATGTCACAGGCGGCCTCGTTGACCTTCTGCCCCTGAGGTGGGGGGAGGGGACACAAGGCATCTGCACCTTCATGGGCCACACAGATACGCGGTTTTACTTGGGGAAATGCTGGTCGCGGGGCAGTTCGCTGCTCTGCCCGTTTGCAGGGATAGCGCCGGTGGTTAGTGGCTGCTGCTGTAAGGCAGACAGGTCACCTGTTGGATGTAACCTGAAATCCAAGGTGTGCGTGTGTGTGAGAGCATGGCAGGAGCCAAATTGGTGATTTCAATGCCTGGGCTGCAGTGGGAAGAGCCCCTGGCAATTGTGTGTGTGTCTGATGCAGAGTTCTTCTGATTTTCTCCGACACGTAACTCACCAGGTCTTTCCTAATGACTTGAGACATGAAAAACGGGCCCTTACCCTTCCACAGCAAACCCCAAACCCAGCCAGGGCACACAGCCCCATGGGTCTCCTGTGAGGTTGCGGTTGAGGGGTTACAACCCTGCCCCGACCCCCCTCATCTCTCTACCTTGGGCAGGACTGGGAGCACGTCAGAGGGGCGCTCTCATGGCTTACGCCTCTCCCCAGGGACCCAGTGAATGACTGGCTATAAATGGGCCTTCTGTAGGCTGCTCCCTGCAGCCCTGCAACGTGGTCTAGGGACCCTGAGTGACAAGTCCTGGACCACTCACCGAGAGCTTCTCAGCCACGTAGTTGCCCCTGTTCTCCAGCTTGTCCTCGCTGGCGTAGAAGGTGAAGGTCTGCATGACGTTGGAGCCCGCCCGCAGGAACTCGCGGTGCAGCTGACGCACTGTGGGGAGACAGCGCAGGGGGCTCAGCACCCCCTATGGCTCAGACCCCATCCCTCAGCCCTCAGGGTACCCACCAGAGCTGCTGCCCTCCCTGATTGCTTGGCCTGTGTACACCCTAGTGTTACCGAGAGGTCAAAAGGAACCCTTGGTCACTCCTGCCAGCCCAAGGCCAGCGAGTGGAAGTTCATTACCCACCAGGGCATCCCTTGTCATGTGTGCAAAATGGCCCCTGCATGTGGCTGAGCATCCCACCGCACTGCCCTGGACAACCCACAGCCCATGCGGCAGTAGCTGCCCCAGGACGATGGGAAGGGCTGCATGGCAGGGGGACTAGGACTGCTAGTGGAGGCACTGGCCCGGTGAGGGCTGGGAGGAGCACCTAGGTGCTAAAGGAGGCAACTGCTGCTCAGGTGTGGGAAGCTGGCACAGGGGCAGGAGACGGGGACATGTTGCAAGGACCAGGCACAGACGGACAGAAACCGAGGCTGAGTGAAGAGTCTGGGCTGCAGCCCCAGGTGAGGGAGCAGCTAGCCTGTGTTGCTTTTGGCATCTTTCAGGGTCTCAGACCTTAGAGTGGGGCAGGGTCCCCACACACAGGCACACATGCCTGCAGCTGCTGTAATCACACAGAGCTCAGTGTCAGGGCAGTCTCCTACAGCCCCCGGATGAGGGTGAGGGCCAGAGTGGCCCTGGGGGAGCATGGGCATGGGACACTGCCTCGGCCGGGGTGGGGTCTGCGAGAGCACGGGCGGGTGGCAGGGGCCAGCTCACTGGTGGCGAAGCCTAGAGCTGAGCTACTGGGGGAGGGCGAGAAGGGAGAACTCTGCATCTGAGCTCTGAACAGTAGCAGGCAATGTGCTGGCTGCATCGTCCCAATGGATGTGGAAGTCTACCTGGGCTAGAGAGAGAGGGGACCGCGGAGGAGTTTGGGGAGGGGCATTGAAGGAAGTGGAGCAGACCTGGTACCCACCTGCCTCTGGGTGCTCCACAGCGGCCTCTGGGGTCCAGGGCCCTGCCTTCACGTAGCCCCTCTTCTCCAGCGCAAAGACAAATCCGCCATCCCCAATCACAACCTCACCAGCATTCAGCCGCTCTAGGATACCCTGGGATCAGAGCAAGTGTGCATGTGTTACGTTCTAGGAGCTTCTGGCTTTGAGTACGTTCATGAGAAGTGTGTGATTGTTCTAGAAATCCATGGGACAGCTTTCCCAAGTGCAGTTTGTAGAGAGCTGGATCTGAAGTGGAACAAGCAGACTCCACCTGGCACTTCACCGGCAGTGGCTCAGTCCATAGCGCCACAACACCGGTCCTGAGAATATACTTATTCTAAATTCAGAATTACATTTTCAAAGTTTCACATGTTGTACAGTGTATCCATCCTGTAACTAGAACTCATACACAGCGTAAAACTACCAGGATAGGGGCACTTCCATTGCCTTAAACCTCTGACTGCTTCCAGTCCAGCTCCCTGCTGACACGTGTGGGAATAGGGCTGTACTCAGCACAGTGCTTGTGCCCCAGCTGCCCGTGTGAGAGACCTGGACAGAGTCCAAGGCTGCTTTGGCTTGGCCTGTATCTGCCCATTGCAGCCATTTGGGGGGTGAACCAAAAGGCAGGATTTCTCTCTCCTCTCATTGTTTGTTCCTCTCAATATGTCCCTCTGTCTTTGAAATGTAGCACTATGGCATAGGAGGCTAAACTTTTGCCTGTGGCACTGGCATCCCATATGGATGCCAGTTTGAGTTAGTTACTTTCTACAGCAACAGCTGTGTTGAGCCGTGCCCAGGTATGCACTCTGACAAGGCCAAGGAAAGGTAAGTGAGCAGTGGGCATGTGAGGGACCCCTACTCCTGTGCCACTGCACTCACAGGCCTGGGCCCTGACTTCCTGGACTCATGGCTTACAAAGGATTTGGTCAATAAGGAAGTTCTTTTCTAGTGTAACGAATTTGTAATTTCAAAGACTCACAGACTTCAGCTGTGGGGAGGCCTCAGCGTGGAGACACCTGCTGCTCTCTGGAGTGCCTGGGTTCCAGACACAACTCTGTTTTCTGGGCACTCCCGACCTGTTTTCTGAGGGCTCAAGTAGGTGGATCCTATGTGGACCGAGTTCCTGGCCTCTCTCTGGTCCAGTGCCAACCAATGTAGGCATATGGAAGAAGCAGCAGATGGGACCTGTGTGTGTGTGTGTGTGCCTCTCTGTCCAGCTAGGAAGTGTCAGGAACAAGGCCCCTCTGTGAGTTGGAGGAGGACAAGTTAAGGCGCCTGGCCCAGGGAAGTCACTTGGGCTGCAGAAGGATGGGGTCCAGGGCTCCCTGACACTTGGATGGTGTCCAGGTTAGGAATGATGTGGAGTATCTTTAGCATCGCCTCACACCTGCTGGCACTCATGACCGATGTGACAAATGGCAAACATCACAGGATGAGGGGTATGGCCTTCGGGAGGCAGCCCTCAGCTTCACCTGACTTCTCCCCCCAGGTCTGGGAAGCCCCCCTCCTCCCTACCAGGATGACACTATCCCCAGCACTGCATGCATGTCCAGGGTCTCCCAGATTCGAGCTTGGCAGCTAGGACCTGCAGCTGCTAGATTTGTTTTTATTTAAAATCGTGCTAAGGGCACGACAGTGTGCAGAGCGCAGGTGGGAGTGTGGCAGGGACCAGGCGCACGCTCTGGTCCTGAGCCAGCCTGGGATGCGTGGGGCAGGAGTGAGGGATGCTCAGAAAAGTTTGGAGTCCTCCTGCTCTGGGGATGGGCTGCGGGTGCAGGCTTCCTTGGGCTCCTGGAGCCTGGGCGCCTCGGGATCTCTGTCACTCACCCTCTTGGTGCTTTTGCCCCCGATGGGTGCCATCCTCGTGGTGTCTGGACGTGTACACAGCACTGTGCGACAGACCAGGTGAGCCCTGCCTGCGCCCACAGCCGGCACTTTATACTCTGGGCTCCCCCCAGCAGTGGGTGTGGGCAGGGTACAGACTGCCTCGTCCCCTCTCCCAGAGCCGGGGAGAGGTTTGCTTTCCCAGGATGGGAGGGGGCACCCAGGCCTAGAACAAACAAGACAGCCTGAGGCCACCGCCAGCTGAGGGACCAAACACAGCTGTGTCCCAGTGCTTTGGCCGCTGACCTTGACCTGCCTGGCCCTCGCTAGGGCCTGATTCCTAGAAGTTCCTCGCAAGCCCGGGCTAAGTACCTGGTGGAGGCCAGTGCCTCCTGCGTCCAGGGATGCATGAATCCACCCTGCACACCTAGTGGGGCCCTGCAGCTCCTGGTGACACCACGGGAAACCTCAACAACAGGTGGTGAGGGCAGTCTTTCGTGTTTAAACAAAACCTTGTTCATTTTGCTTATGATCAGTATGTCAGGTTTAAACTGGAAAGCATGAGAAGGTGAAGGGAGATTGATTCACCCACCCCCTCCCGCAGCAGAGACCTGGGTCAGCAAGAACCAGGCTTGAGTCTGCACCGTGCTGTGCAGTGCTTGGGTTGGCTAGGAAGGCTCTGGCTGACTGCGAGGGCCTCCGTTGAGTTGGCATGTTGACCCGTGTTCACCCAGTGGGTGCCTGGCTGTGGTGTGTACATGGTTGGTATAGGTGAGATGTGTGTGGCCCAGTGTCTGTAGCCGTTCTCACCCCTCCATCCCGTTAAGTCCATTTACAAAAGAACCTCTTACCAGTTGCATCCATGGCAGGTGAGGGTCCACAGCTCACCTGTGGCCAGTGCAACCTTTACCCACAGCTCTGTGAGCAGGCATCCCCTGCACCCCCATGGAGCTGCCAACCCTGCCGGTCCTTGTCCCAGTCCCAGAGAACCACGTGCCCCCTGGTGCTCTGGATGGCTGCTGGACTCTTTGATCTCTGCAGAGTGGTGGACGGGGCAGCATGCCTTGACCGAGTCCTCGAGCTTCTACAGAGCCCATTCTGGTTGAAGGTCGGTCCCATAGGAGAGGGGCAGGCTGAGCACTGGAGCCCGTCCCTTGCTATTATAACCTGGGGAAAGGCAGTTGGAGCCTCTGGTTCCCGCTGTGCTTTCCTGACACCATAGTTTATATTCCACAGTGTGTGGGCAGCACTGGTGCTGGGGGGGAAGATCCTCCCTCCTGTGTTTCAATGAGACCCTAGACATCCAATGGCCGAACAAGTGCCTGTCCCAGTGTGTGGATGGGAAAAATGCCAGGACTTTCACTTGCCATTCCACTTGGGGCTCTGAAATGCAACCAGCTTTTCATAGCTCTTCTGAGTCCGAAATTGTCGTAGTTAACCTTGCACCATTGAGATGGTTTCCCATTATTGGTGCTTGGGTGTTGGGGACAGGAAGCGCAGCCGCCTGGATGTTCCCCTCGGTTTGTGAGATGTTGCGACGAGCTCTGTTGTGTCTCTGTGAGTGAAAACAGGAGAGTAAGGATGCAGGACACGAGGCATCTTCAGTTCCCTGCGGTGGCCTGCACTTCTGCAGCACCTCCCTTTAGAACCCGGTGGAGGTCAGAGCCCCTGCAGCCATGGGGCTCAGGGCTCACAGACCTCTTCCAGCCTTCCTCCGGGAGATCTCCCCACCCACAGCAGTGAGTCCTAGGACCTCCTCTCAGCACCCTAACGGACTGCCATCGCTTTCTGAACGTCCCCTCTCAGCCTTTCCCTTGGGTGCTGACGGGGTGGTCAGCCTGCCGCTCTGTGAGTTAGCTGTGCTGAGTACCTTACAGGCTCCCCACAGCCCTCCCCGTAGCCCTGAGACCCATGGGCTTCACCATCTCAAGATTTTGTTTTTAAGAGATTTACTTATTTGAGGGGCTGGCACTGCAATGCAGGGGCTTAAGCTACTGCCCGCGGGACTGGCATCCCATATAGGCACCAGTGCAAGTTTTGGTGACTCCACTTCTGATTCTGCTCCCTGCTGACAGACCTGGGAAAGCAGCAGATGATGGAGTAAGAGCTTGGGTCCCTGCACCCACGTGGGAATCCTGAAAGAAGCGCATGGCCATTGGTTTTAGCCTAGGCCAACCCTGCATGTTGTGGGCCATCTGGGGAGTGAACCAGCAGATGGAAGAGCCCCTCCCCCATCTCTCTGTAACCATGCCTTTCAAATTAAAATAGATATTATCTATTTTTTTTAAATATATGTTTATTTTTATCGGAAAGGCTGATTTACGCATAGAGAAGGAGAGACAAAGAACCTCCACCTGCCGGTTCACTTGTAGTAAGCCACTAAGAGACGAACAAGATCAGGGTTCACCCCCTGGGACAGCTGTGTGTTTGTTCTGGAGGGCCCTGCCTTCCTGGTGCCCGTGGGAGCGACCATATCCCACTCTGGTCATCTGGCCGCAGGTTCCGGAGTCGCCTCTTCCGTTCTGGCCCTTGGTGCTCTCCGCTCGTCCTCCCTTGTAGCAGCCTTCCTGGTGGATGGTGTCTGACCGTGAACGCGGAGCCCCTTTTCCTGTGCCCCTGGCCATTCGTGGCTCCTTCTCTTTCATCCTTGCCTGTCTGAGGGTGTTCTTTGTGTGTCGTGGATATGAAGGCCTAACTAAATAAACAATTTCTCCTGTTGTCTGGGTGGCCTTTGCTCTTGACTTTGTGTCAGCCCCTAACAAGTTGGGGCGGAGAGGAGGAGCCTGTGGCCCAGACACTCCCACCCAGGTCAGGAGCTTAGGGGTCTGCAGCAGAGGCAGGCAGAAGGGAGAAGGCAAAACTTAAGAAACCCTATTGCTTGCGGCATGGCGAGGGAGGGGCGGGGCACAGTGGGGTCACTGCAGACCGGGCTCAGTGTTGCTCCTTGGTCAGCCTGGAGGCTGCGTGAGTGCTCAGTGAACTCCAGATGCGTCGCCTCTGCTGACTGGCAGAATGTCCGGGAAAAGCCAGCAGCAGCACAAGGACGCGGGGGGCCCAGGTGCTGGCTGACTCAGCGTTGTGACCTCAACCGCAGAGCTGCGTTCATTCACTTGCTCAGTCGTTCCACGTGTCTTATGATCCAGAATAGGCAAGGACCCTGAAAGCCCAGCCGTGAACAAGGCAGCTTTGCTGCCCCTTTGGGCAGGGCACGGGAATGACCGAGAGAATATCCAAACAGCCTTGAAGCCAGGGTGCAGTGCCCACCATAGGGTCAGGCGCTAAAGAAGTATGAGGCGGTGTATTTGGTTAAGAAAACAGCACACAAAGGCAAGAGGCTTCTCCAGATTCACTCTCAGAAGCTGCGTGTGTGTCGTGTGTGTCGTGGGGAGTGCGGCCTCCCTCCCCCCCCATGCCTCTCGGTGCCCACCGATGGTGGAGGCCATAAGTAAGATCTGCTGCCAGAGCCCCAGCCCGCCCCTTCCCCTCCCTGCCACCCCCACCTCCCCAGGTCAGCTGCCTGGCCTGCTCCCCTGGGCCACTTAGTGGAGCAGGCCGAGGGGGGCAATGAGGCGTGCTTCTGAAGATCTTTGCTTTGTCGGTGAACACAGCGCGTGTTCGTTTTTGAGGCAGCTGACTGTACAGCCAAACTGGTTGCCCAACTCTGCTTACCGTTCTCTGGGCGCTATCTGACCACAGCTTGCTTGTTTTTCCAGATGACCTTCACTCTCGCATTGCACACATCCCTCCGACCTCTTCCAGGGCTTTCCATGAAGGCTCTGCTATGTTTCCTCCTTGCTCCCCCACAGGATTTGTGGGCGGCCACCCACAGGGCTGGTGGCCCCACAGTCCAGCAGGCGTCTGCTCTGGGGCTGGGAAGGTTGGTCCTGTGGTCCAGCAGGCATCTGCCCTGGGGCTGGGAAGGGTGGTCCTGCGGTCCAGTAGGCGTCTGCTCTGGGGCTGAAAAGTCAGGCTCCTCTTGTTTGCTGACCAACCTCAGAGTTAACTGAGGAATACATTGAGAAAATAGGAGATACAGAATTCAAAACACTTGTTATAAAGCTTCTTATCAACAATGAGAAGCATGTAATACAGGAGTTCAAAAAATTTAAGAAACATGTCAGACAGGAAGTGATCAAATGAAAGCTGATATATCAGAAATGAAAAGTACAATGGAACAAATTACAAGTGCAATGGAAAGTCTCCAAGATAGAATGAAGGAGGCAGAAGAAAGAATCTCCAGAAATGAGTTCACTCCCAGCCCACTGCTTGCACACTACTGTTCGTAGCCTCTACCTCCCTCTTCAAAATGGTGCCCGACTCAGTTCTAGGGGGCGGAGTGGACTGTGAAATCCACCCTGTTCCTGCACCATCTGTCTGGGACCTGCTGCTCTGTCTCTTCCCCTGGTCAAATCAAATAGACCAGCCGTTGTTTGTCCTGGTTCACCTCCTGTGCTCCCTTCCCACCTTGCTGACAGTTTCGGCTGTCGGTGGAGTTCAGATCACCACTTGCTGAATGCTGCTGGGATGTCGGTCACTGCAACACCACCTCATTGTGTTGCTGCTTTCCCATGTCTGTCAGTCTCCAGGTGCCCTTCTGCTGTTGTTCTGTCCTCTCCTGTTTCCTGGAATGTGCCTTCTTTGCTTCACACTGTCTGTTTAAACGTGTCCCTATCCTATTCCACTGTCTTGATTCTCCAGGGGTCCTTGTTTGTATTCCTACTGTGCTCCTTTTAATGACTACAAGCCAGTGTTCTATGGTTTACATAGCCAGTGAGTCACAGGTGGATGTTTAGGTTGGTTCTAGACAGTTACATTCTTAGAAGTACAGCCGCAGCGCTGGCACTCTGGCATAGCAAGCAAAGCTGCTGCCTGCAAAAACTGCATGTCCAAAGATGTGTGGGTTTTTAGATTTCCACGGATATGGCCAACTTGCTTTCCAAATAGGTTGTCCATGTTTGCACCTCTAGAGAGAGGATGGTGATGACTTGGCTATCCACCAGTGCCAGTGCTCGAGTCATTGACATCAGTAGATGTGAATGTCTCCTCTACACTTACCTGGTTTTGAATGTGCTATTTATGTTTTCTAATATTCAGTAGCTGAAGTAAGTCTGTGTCCTAGTTGTAAGTGGAGGAAAGTCTGCCTGGGTTTGTCAAGTGTGTGTGAAGCTTCAAGGCAGAACAGCAGCACTCAGACCACGCTCATCTCCCGAGGCCTTCAGATGATCTTCGAGATGTCTGTGGTCATTGATCTAGGGGCAGGATGAGAAACATGTGGGGTGAGGGAGCACAGAGCTGAACTCCGGGAGCTGTTGAAGAAAGGATGGGGCTGAGCCTGGCAGGTGCCACATTTGGGAAAGCTCTGGAGCCCTGGCTCACTGCCTGCAGGTCCCACGCCCTGGCCCCATCTATAAGCCATACCAGGTGGTGTAGGTCCCACACCCTGGTCCTGCCTGTCAGCCGCACCAGGTGCACAGGGCTTCATAAGGCATCCTACACAGGAAACACTGCCAGGTAGGGTGAGGGTGAGGGCTCTGCTTGGAAGAACCCTCTCTTCTGTGAACCCAAGACGGGGTGCTCAGGAGGTCTGAATGCCAGTCAAGCAGGTGCAGCGGTCAGGGTGGGGGTTGCACTGACGCTGCTCAAGACCCTTGTGTTGGGAAACCCATTCCTGATTCATCCCACAGTGGAGTTATTGTGCTATACATGTTGATAGAATTTATTTGGGAGAAAATTTGAGATCCATGCCTTCTCATCCCGAGTGGTTGACCAGTTGCCTTTGTTGATTAAGTGCTTGAGCTTTTCCTCATTGTTCTGGTCCTCCCTGTACCCCCTTTTTTTCTGATGATCAACAGGCAAAGTTTATTAACTTTTACAGACCGAGGGTCACATACACATCTGAGAGGAGGGTTTGAGGAATTTGTATGTCAACAGCAAGACGGAGTTGACTGGAGACAGTGGGAGTTCTCGCACCTCTGCCTGTGACAGGAAGCATGTCTGATCTGTTAGCTAAACCTGAGGATTAGGGAGTTCCTGGCCTGTGCATTTCCGCATCAAATCACGATGGCCGCTAGCCGTGGCTCCACACTAGCAAGGCTTCCCATTGTCCTCTCTGAATCAACTATCTTCCTATAGGGCCAGTCAGCGGTCTTCCTACAGATCCCCCAGGGATGTAGCTAGGGAGAATGTGCTCTTGGAAGGGCAGAGAATGAGGAGGAGCAAAATTTTATGGTTTGCAAAGGTAACTTCACCAGGGACCAGAGACCCCAAACTGCCTGTCACCCTGTCTCACTCCTCAACATTCCTTCCCCCGGAAGAATGGACCCCAGCTGCTGTTAGGGACAGGTGGGCATTGACTCTGGCTGCTTCATGATGAAGAAGCATAGAGGGGCAACAGCACCAGGGTATTCTTTGGGGGTTCATTCTAGAGTTCTCGGGGTCCCTTCTCTAAGTTACACACACACATACTTCTGTTCCAATCTTTATACAAGTAACCAGTAATCACTCTGTTGTAGAGGGTTTTCTGGTGAGGTCATGCCTTACTCACTATCCCACTTCCTCCTTTTTTGTTTTCTGTTTGAAGATTTATTTATTTTTCTTGGGAAGGAAGATTTACAGAGAGAAAGAGACATCTTCCATCTGCTTGTTGACTCCCCAAGTAGCTGTAACTACCAGAACGGAGGAGCTGATCTGATCTGAAGCCAGGAGCCATGAGCCTCTTCCAGGTCTCCCACATGGGTGCAGAGTCCCACGGCTTTGGGCCGTCCTTGACTGCTTTCCCAGGCCACAAGCAGGGAGCTGGATGGGAAGTGGAACAGCTGGGACACGAACTGGTGCCCATATAGGATCCTGACATGTTCAAGGCAAGGATTTAGCCACTGAGCATCATGCTGCCACACATACCCTTATTTTATTTATTTATTTATTTTTTACTTGAAAGGCAGATTTTACAGAGAGGGAAGGAAAGAGAAGGAAAGAAGGTCTTCCGTCTGTTGAGTCACTTCCCAAATAGATGCAGTGGCCATAACTGAACTAATCTGATTAATATTATTATTTAAAGCCTGACCCAACCACTATTTACATATGTTCAAGTAGGAAATCTTTCTCACACATTTCACCTGGTAGATGTCTGTGCTTATCCCGTGGATAAGCTTTGGTCAACATTGCCTCCAGGCCATTGTACTTCAGACTGCCGGGCTGAAAGCCATGTGTGTGTTAAACAAAACTGGTGACTGTTGTACGTGGAAAGTGCTCAGCTCTTAGCCCTCATGGAGATGCCTGCACAGGGGGCCGTGGGTGCTCCCGCGTGGGCTCAACCCCGAGACTGCTGCTATCACAGCTGGTCCTCACAGCTGCGTGGCCACCGCAGTGTACACATGTGGAAATTGAGGCTGAAGAGGTAAGGCTGTATTGCAGCACCCAGGCAGCGTGTGGCAAAAGGATGTGCTTTAGGTTTGGGGAAAATGAAGGCGTGAGAGGCTAGGAACATGCTGACAGTGATTATGGGATGTTAGGGAGCCATGAACTTGCCGTATGTGTGTCCACATCTAACATGTGGCCCACCGGGTGGCAGCTGTGGGTAAGTTGATTTCTGACTCCCACGGGCATTCCGCTTCAGGAGAGATGGCTGAACAGGAGGCCCTGGCTGCAGCTGGACACTCTGCCAGCCTTCAGGGAGCACTCACCCTCAGAGAGCTCTGAGACCCCCATGCTGTGTCCTGGCCCCTCTGGGTCTCTCAGGGCAGGGTTGTGCATGGTAGGGACAGTGCTATGGCTCAGGCCCCAGGCAAGGAGTGACAAACCACATGTTGGGACTGATGGGTGGCTTCCTCTGAAGGAAAGACGACCCCAAGTTTCTAAAACTCGGCAGCAGATACACCTGGATATGTCCAGCCAGAGCCACAGCCTTGGGCATGACAGGTGTGGTATGGTGTGGCATGGTGTGGCATGGTGTGGCAGCTGGGCTGTGGGTCCTGGTCCACATCACTGAGTGTGTAGTGTCTCCAGAAAGTCACCCAGTTTCCTCAGCCCCAACCCACTGTACAAGTACCATCTCCATGGGGCTGGTTCTAGGCTGCATCTGTGGTGTCGGCATTCCATGCAGGTGCTGGTTCTAGTTCTGCCTGTTCTACTTCCCATCCAACTCTCTGCCAATGGCCTGGGAGAAGCAGTGGAAAATGGCCCAGGTCCTTGGGCCTCTGCACCCACCTGGGAGATCTAGAAGCTACTGGCTCTGGCTTAGCCCAGATTTTATGGTTGTGGCCATCTGGGAAGTGAACCAACAGCTGGAAGCTCCCTCTCTGTTTTTCCTTCTCTTCATATATGTCTTTCAGATAGGTAAATAAATCTTTTTTTTTAAAGATTTATTTATTTTTATTGGAAAGTCAGATATACAGAGAGGAGGAGAGACAGTGAGAAAGATCTTCTGTCCGATGATTCACTCCCCAAGTGAGCGCAACAGCTGATGCTATGCCGATCCGAAGCCAGGAGCCAGGAACCTCTTCTGGGTCTCCCACACGGGTGCAGGGTCCCAAGGCTTTGGGCTGTCCTTGACTGCTTTCCCAGGCCACAAGCAGGGAGCTGGATGGGAAGTGGAGCTACCGGGATTAGAACTGGCGCCCATATGGGATCCCGGGCGCGTTCAAGGCGAGGACTTTAGCCGCTAGGCCATGGCGCCGGGCCCAAGGTAAATAAATCTTACATATAATTTAGCAGGGACATAGTGGGTAATAAATTTATTATTGTTGTAAAGAATGACATGGAATTTAAGACAGGCAAGAAGTGTAACAAGTGCATGATTTGTATGTTTTTTAATCACCATCCATTGTTGTGAAAAAAGAAACGGGAGAGGGAGAAGGACAGGAACCCAAGCCAGGACAAGTGGGGTCTGCCTCCCAGGACTTCTTTCTTCACTGGGTTCCCTTGTGGTGATTAGCAGGGGGTCTTATCTGTGAGTGGCCCGTCAAGTGGAGGGTGGAGCTGGCATCATCATTGAGTGCAGCTGTCCATGACCACAGAGACATGTTTAGAAAACCCTGGAGGGACTCGCTTCAGAAGGCTGCCTGCTCGCGTCTTGTGTGGGGCGGTCGCAGCCTCTGCAGCCATCGCCTCAGCGGCCCGAGAGACACAGGCACTGCAGAACCAGCCTTGACCGTTTCTAAGTGACTTCCCTTTATCTTAAGACACCAGACTCATCCCAGGAAGTCAGTGTGGTTGTTGGTGGTCTCTGAGAGTGTGGGGCCGCAGGTGTGGGGCAGGGTCCCTGCAGCAGCAGCAGCAGGAGCAATGCAGGACACAGATGATGAGGGTGAGGATGAGGATGGTGACATCAGGGGAAGGATCAGAGAACGGGCAGAAAACAGGCGGAGGGCCCTGGGCACTTGCTCCCCTCACCGGCCTAGACATCTGGCTTGGACAGCGCTGGACAGAAGGGCCTGCCCGAGGCTGGCTGCAGGCTCTCCCAGTACTCTCGCCGAGCCCTGTGTTCACAGACAGACAGGAAAGGGGTCAGGTGCTTCAAGCCTAAGCTTTAAATATCACAGACGAGGCAATTCACAAAGTTGGCAGAACAGGGAATCTGAAAGTTGATTTTGGTGTAAAACAGTTGAAATCCATGCACAGGAGAGCTTCAGGGCAGTTCATGAAAAGTGCATGTAATGACAAAAATATATATATATGCCTGGAATTCAAAACTTTTCACACCAAAAATCTGTCCCCTCCCTCGCTGCCTGGCCCTCTGTCCTGAGAGCAGGAGGAGCGGGAGAGAGCGAGGAAATGCATGTTCTCCTTTTATTTTCCAGGTGGCTCCACTAGCCAAGGGGCTCGGAGAAGCCAGAGGGTTCATGAAGGCGGGAGCTGCAAGCTCAGGTCAGATCTCCTGCTGAGGGGTTTGTGTGGAGTGGGGTGGTCATGGGGTGCCACAGCAGGAAGCTGGACCTAGGTACTCACCTGGTGTCTTAACTGCTAGCCTGAACGCCTGCCCCACAAGCTTCCTGAAGCACCCTCCAGTGTACACATACATTGAAAAAGCTTGGCCAAGAGCAGGCCGAAATGGAACTTCTGCTTCAAAACAGAGAGCATTTCTCATTTCTGTGCTAAGTAACAGTTCCTAGGTCCCACGCCACCTTCCAGAGAAAAGAAACTGTGTTGCGGGTTTGTTTGTTTTTAATATTTACTTATTTTTACTGGAAAGGCAATATTGCAATTAAAAAAAAGATTTATTTACTTTTATTGGAAAGGCAATGTTGCAATTTTTTAAAAAAGGTTTATTTATTATTATTGGAAAGGCAGATATAGTTAGGAGATACAGAGAGAAAGATCTAGCTGCTGGTTCACTTTCCAAGTGGCTGCAACAGCCAGAGCAAAACTGATCTGAAGCCAGGAGTCCGGAGCCCGTTCCAGGTCTCCATCCGAGTGCAGGTCCCAAGTCTTTTGGAATGTTCTTTACTGTTTTGCCAGGTCACAAACAGGGAGCTGGATGGAAAGTGGGGCAGCTGGGATACGAACCGGTGCCCATATAGGATCCCAGCTCATGAAAGGTGAGGATTTAGCCACTGAGCTTTGGTGCCAGGCCCACTGTGTTGCAATTTTACTTATTTTATGAATTACTTTAGTCTGAAATTTGCCAGCTGAATCCTCCCAACTCAATATTTTAATGTAATAGTAGTGTAGGAAAAAATTTTAATATAGCAAGATGAAGTGCAATTTCTTTAAAAAGTAACAAAGAGCAGAGTAATTTTCTTTCTTGGAGGATAGCCATGGCATAGCATAGCACATTAAGTCTACCTGGAGCACCAGCATCCCATGTGGGCACCGGTTCAAGTCCCAGGTGCTCCACTTCCCATCCTGCTCCCTGCTGATGTGTCTGGGAGAGCAGCAGGGCATGGCCCAGTGTTGGGCTCCCTTGAGCGCCTGTGGGAAACCCAGAAGAAGCTCCTGGCTCCTGACTTCAGACAGGCCTAGCTCCATTTGGGGAGTGAACCGGGAGGTGGGGCGGGGAACAGAAGAGCTCTCTCCTCTCTCAGTAATCTTGCCTTTCAAATAAAAAATGTCTTTTTAACAGAATAAACCACCTTGTCAATATTTGTTCCTTGTGTTTAGACAAACATTGCAAGAGTCCCTGGTTACAGATCTTTGTGTTAAATGTATTTTTAGAGTTTCCCTCACTTAACACAACAACAAGAAAAAAAAGAAATATTTTGAGGCGATGAACTATTAGGAATTACAAGCTTCTGTGTGGTCAGGAGATCCAGCAGCATCAGAATTAATTGTCTGTGGTACAAGGATGGCCTTGCTTGGGACCCAGTGCGATGGCTCAGTTGGTTAATCCTCCCCTTAACAACCACCGGCAACCTCTACGGATGCTGCTTCATGTCCCGCCTGCTCCATTTCTGATTCAGTTTCTTGCTAGTGGCCTGGGAAAGCAGTGGAGTATGGACCAAAGCCTTGGGATCCTGTACCCATGTGGGAGACCTTGAAGAAGCTCCTGGCTCCTGGCTTCGGATCGGGTTAGCTCCGGCTTTTGTGGCCACTAGGGGAGTAAAGCAGCAGATGGAAGATCTTATTCTCTGTCTCTCCTCTCTGTAAATCTGCCTTTCCAATAAAAATAAATAAATCCTTAAAAAAAAGATGGCCTTGGTTTAGCAGATAATTTCTTAATGCCTTACAAAGAATGGTCCCTAAAAGGTGATAATTAAGATAAGTAATTTCTCATTTATTTATACCATTTTAATCATCACCCGTGTGTGCTTTCCTCACTGTTTAATTAGAATTCATAGTTTTTGTAAATAGGATACCTGTAAAAGATTCTTCTCTGACAAATATCCCTATCTCCTGAAAGAAAGACTTGGCTAAATGATATTTCCTGCTTCTATGACTTTACGTTAGGAAGGAGGTTCCAGTTCTAAAAGGAAGCCTGCTTCAAAGGCCACTGCACCGATAAAAGAAGTGCAGCACGGATTAAGCGTGGAGCACCACTCAAGGGAGAGGGAAAGACCGGTGGCAGGGCCAGTTCCCCAGAAGATGGGGCGATGGCTTTGTATGCATGTCCCCATCTGCTGTCCATCCATCCACCCAGAGGGGTGGCTGCCAGACACACAGGATCCCAAACAGAACCCGAAGTCAGGGAGCCACAGGAAACATGTCTTCAATAGCAGGACGACTGACTTTAACACACAGTCCAGTCCAGGAATGCCGAGACCTTTGAGGTGTGAAGGCCTGCGATTTTGCTTCCGACGAGGACAACGGAATATCATGTGAAAATCCTAGGAAACCAGATGTACCAAGAGAGCAGTTCCCAGTAGGAATCAAGTGGAAATCTGACATGGGTCTGGACAGCAGGTCATGTGGCTGAGGATCCACTGGCCTTGATGCGAGAGCCTGTCCCACCAAAGACTGCAGCTGTGTGGAGCAGGGAGAGCTAAGAAACCCCTCACCCAACAGGGGCCAGGATCTGCAGATTTCAGTGTCAAAGACACTCACAGGCCGCCATGCTGCACAGGTCTCCAGGACTGACCGAGCAGCAGCCCAGCGGCTCACCCCATTCTCCACTGCGACATCTGGGTCACAGGCCAGCAGATGTGTCCCAGGGGGTCAGGCGGAGGGCCAGCTGAGTCTAGGCATAGTGCCGGTGCCAGCCGGTGTCCAGAATCAGGGGCAGGGACTCCCCCGGGAGGACAAGAGCGCCACCTCCAGGGCACACCTGGACTGGCACACATGGAAGGAGCAGCCAAGGATGCCTGAGGCAGAAGACAGCAGCAGTGGCCAGGGCAGAGCCAGACTCCACACATGTCTACGCGTCTGGAACTTTCCTTACTATTTATGTGCATGGTAAAGAAAACGAGATGAGAGAAACACATAAAAAGTACTCAGGTAGAAGTTCCCACCTGGCCCTGATCCAGGGTTTGGTGTGCATGTCCAGGCCGCTGCCCCAGCTGCCGTGCTTCTCTGACGCCGGGGGCAAGAACCCCCTCTCCGGGGCCAGCTCCTCCGCGATGGCCCTGATGTGGTAGGGCTCGAACCCGCAGCAGCCGCCGATGTAGCGGACGCCCAGGTTGTAGGCCTCCCTGGCATACTTCTGAATGTCCCAGCGGGTGGCCACGCGGGGCTCCAGGGCTGCAAGACCACAGTGAGATGGCTTCTTGTACTGTCCCAGTTACAAATGACAGATACCCCAGGGCACTGCCTCCTTACCCACCCTCCATTTAAAAAACTGCCAACTGTGGGTTATGCAGGCCTCGCCAATGAACACGAGATGTCTGGGCCTTCACGTGAACCTGTTCCAGTTTCTGGTAACCTGGGAATTTTGTCAGAAGCAACAGCAGGTCCTTTCCACCTGCCTCAGCTTACCAAAGGGGTATTCAGGCAGGTCCAGGAAGCCCCCCTTGCCACAGTCGGGGGTGTGGAAGGCCAGGGCCTGTACCATGAGGTGGGCCTTCAGCCCCTTGGCCCTCAGGCCCTCCTTCATGAGTGCCAAGGTTTCCAGGCTGGTCGAGGGACCAAAGCGGCAGTTCACGCCCACGACGTCTGCCCCTGGAAGAGAGTACAGGCTTCTGACCCCCTCGGCTTGTTTGCTGTTTTTGTTTTCTCTTCTTATTGAGTTAGTTACCCGACAGGACGAGTTACACCAGAAGATTATCCACCCCCGGCTTCACTCCCCAGATCCTGGTCTGAGCCGGGCCCAAGTCAGGAACTTGGAACAGGCCAGGTCTCCCACCTTGGTGGCAGGGGTTCAAGTCCTTGGGCCTCTGCTTTTCCAGGCACATCAGCAAGGTGCTGGATTGGAAGTGGAGTATCTGGGACTTACACTGGTGCCTGCTTGGGCTGCTGGCGGTGCAGCAGTCCTTGAAGATGCAGCACCACAGCCTGGCCCCCCTCCCCACGTTTTTTTCCCCCTAGTAGTTGACACGTACTTGAGACATTGACTGTCTTTCATCTTCCGAGATTTAAAGAAAGCAACCAAACCCAGTTGATTCTGCTGGCAAACGGCTCCTGGGTCAGACCCAGGACCAAACGCCGAGCACTCAGGAAGGGCTATGAGTTACCTGCCTCTACCAGCCGCACAGCGCACTCGCCGGGGGTCACACCGTGCAAGTCCCCTGCAGGCCCGATGCACAGGCTGACCGCCACGGGCTTCCCCGATTCCCTCAGGACGTGCACAGCCCACACAGCCTCTTCAACATGCTCGAAGTACTGCGGAAAAAGGCATGAGTCGCTAGAGTCCCCAGGGTGACCCCGCGCATCCTGTAGGGTGACACATGCCGAGGACCCAGTCTCTGCCACCTGACCACATAGCACCTTTCTCAGCCAACACTTAAGCCCTGACAAGATCACCCAGTGAAAAACCCACCCACTCTTGTGCAGGTTGGGTCCCTAGCAGGGTCCTGCTTCAGAATGCCCTCAAGGCCACCACTGAAAACCCATCTATGGGAAACCGGGGAGAAATGGTAGATATCTCTCTTGTCTCTGGGCACAGGAGGAAGCTGCTGCCAGCCTCCCCAGGGCACAGGCCTGGGCATTGGATCACTGGAGGAGCAGGGTGTCCAGTGCAGGACAGGAAGGGGACGGCAGAAAGCAGTCTACCTCCTGGTTCAGGTAAATTCCTGTTTTTTCACTTTTATCTGTTTGAAAGGAAGAGACAGCGAGCATGGAGCCAGCACTCCTACCCCATGACTCACTGCTTAAATGCCTGCCAAGCTCCAGGGCTGGCTGGCACTCCCCCTAGAGCTTGGCCCGCAAGGAACTGTGCTAAGCAAGGTGGGGGAGTGTTATTTTCTATCTTAGGGAGAACAGAAGATCTAGGGCCCCCCATCTCTTTGTTCAGGACACCATGCCTGTGTTACTGCGGACAGTAAATCACAGTGGTGTGTGCTACAAGGGGGTGGGCGGGAGGTCTGCCAACTTCTTGCTGGGAAGCGTTGGGCAGGGCCACCGGAGCCTGCAGAGCCCCCACCTCCTGGGCTTTGCTCCCTTCTCCCCACCCCCGACCCCACCCGCTTCCTGCCCCCTCACTTACTGTCCCTGTCCTCTCCTCTCAGCTTGGGCTGCAGGGTCTCTTGCTGCTGTGGCTGCCCAGGGCTTAGGAAGGTCAAGGGCCCATCTGGCTCTGTCCTTCGGCCCCATAGAGAATCAAACTTAAGAGTGAGCCTGCATTGGTTCACACCTTTGGTCGGCTACATGCTGGTGTGAGGGCCACAGGCAGTGCTTAGGGAGCCCGGGTTGGGGAGGTGGGGAGATTGTACCCTGGAGCCCCCCATCCCAGCACCAGGCTCACCTCCGCAATCAGGAAGTCCACGTTCTTCCTGACAAACACCTCTATCTGTGACCGGAATAGCTTTTTGATCTTGGTCTCGTCCCTGTGCCGTGTGTACAGGGATGTCTGGCAGATGCTCCCGGCCACCAGGGCATCACCCTGGTTGGCCACATCCTGGGCCAGGTCACAAGCAGCCTCGTTGACAGCTTCCCACTGTGGGTGGTAGGCAGATGGGGGCCGATAAGGCTGGCTTCACCGGACCTGGTGATGTAGGACCTGGGGATTCGGCCACTGACAGCTGGGGGCGGGGGTTAGCTGAGCATCCCCAGGTGTTCTCTCCCTCTTCCAATCCCCTGCCCTCTGCCTTCAGTGACAGGACAGGACTGTTCATGGGGTGCCTGATGGCTGTGGGTCGGGAGGTGTTATCAACCGCCCACCACCATTCCCTCCACACAGGCCCCATCACCTTGCTCTCCATGATGTCCTCACTGGCTGAGAAGGTGAAGGTCTGCATGACGTTGGAGCCCGCCCTCAGGAACTCCATGTGGAGCTGACGCACTGCAGAGTGGGTGCATGGGACCAAGTCAGGGTCAGGGCAGCCGGCTCTCAGCCCTCCTGCAGGGTATGCCCCACAGCACCTACAGCCTGCCAGGGCCTATCCTTGTGGAGAGGTCCATGAGGTGATATGAGGCTGTGAGGGGTGTGCCAGGTCCTGTGTGCTTGTGTAAGCCAGAGTCTAGTTGGTTAGGAGTGTGTATAGTGAAATAGGTTGTGTGTGCTTGTGTAAGGCTATGTAGAGTTGTGTAGGGATGTGTAAGATGACAATGTCGCAGGGATTATGGGAGTTGGTGTAGGGTTGCTCAGGGAAGAATGGTGTCAGATCCACAGTGTCTGACAGGCCAGGTACCTGTTCATATAGTCAGGCCAGTCATTCTCCTGTGGGCACCAACCCTGTATATTCCCAGTTTCACAAGGGGCAGCAGCCCAGTTCTGGCATTGCTATCCACCCGGCACCCTCTGTGTCCCAGCTGGACGATGTAGGCCTGGTACCCCCTGACCCCAGAGGCAGGATATGGCAGTGGCAGGGAGTCTGCCTGGGGGTCCCATCACAGGTGCCCGCAGTGGTGGGACCTCAGCCTTGTCTAGCAGGTAAAACATTCCTGGAATTGAGGGGTATGAGGGTGTACGTGGTATGGGGAGAGAGGTCTCGCCCCCAACTCATGGCTGAGTCCTCACAGCACAGTTCGAAGGGAAGCCGTGCTTGGTCCCAGGCCCTGACCTGCGTTGGGGTGCTCCACCACAGCCTCTGGCGTCCAGCACCCAACCTTCACAAAGCTCCGCTTCTCCAGTGTGATCAGAAAGCTGCCATCTCCCACAACAACCTCGCCAGCATCCAGACGTTGCAGGAGGCCCTGAGGAGGAGGAGGAGGAAGCAAGAGGCAAGGCATTGGTACCTGCCCACTCTCTGACCTCAGACAGAGGTGGGAGCACCGGCATCCTGGCCAGTGGGGCAGCAGCAAGACTGCACTGCTTACAATTTTAAACAAGGTGATGAGGAGGGCAGAGTGACACACACAGGGAAGAGGGGAGAGAGAGGGGAGGAGAGACTCTTCCACCTGCTGGCTCCTTCCCCAAGTGGCCACAGTGGCCAGAGCTGGGCCAGATCAAGGCCAGGACACCATCCAAATCTCCCGCATGGGCGGTAGGAGCTGCCTGCCCCACAGAAATGCTGGGAACAGAGCAGAAGGATCAAGACTGCGTCTTGGCCACATGACCTGGTAAATGATTTCCTCTGGAGACCTGAGAAGAACACGGTGTACTTGACCTCACAGTCGGCCCAGGACTCACCAAGCCCAGAGAGAAAATTCACAGGTGCCATTCTCGCCCTCCCAGCAGCCCAGGGAGGGGGCTGGGGCCACAGGGTGCAGGACGGGGCTGAATTGTCCGTCCACCGAGTGATGTGCCTAAGGCGGTCGACCCTGACTCTGGCGGACGGTCCCCTTGGCCATGTCCATCCTGTGCCTAACCCACCTGCACTGCGCAGCCTGCTGCTCACCGTCTCTTCAGCTCACCCAGGAGGTGTGGCTGACTTACTGCATCCCTGCCACCTCAGCTGGCACCTAAGCAGACCATGCCAACAGTGAGCCAAGAGACCCTTTTGATTGAAACTTAGAGGTGCTAGAGGCTTCTCCCAGAAAAGGGAGGGGAAAGTCATGCTTGAAGACCAGGGTAAAAATACCTATAGCTTATACTTGACTATCTTCATGATACCAAGCAACCACAAGATGTTCTGTGGTCTGGATGTTTGTCCAACTGTTCATTTTCTTAGAGCAAGCAAGCTCCTGGTTCGTTCCCACATGGTGGGTACAGAGCCAGCACCTGTGGCCTCCCAGGGAGTGCACTGGCAGGAAGCAGAGCCAGGAGCTGATAACATACAACAAGGGCTGAATGAGTGCCCTCACGCAGCACTGGCAACTGGCCACTTTCTATTGGGGAGACGGCTGATCACTTCCATCACCACCTCGGAGAGTGTTCACGTACTCCAGACTGACAAGGCTGGGGCTGGTGGAAGGAGGAGCCCTACACGTTAAGCCCAACGTGGATCCCAAGTGATCCCATGTCAGCCCCTACTGCCTCTTCACCTGTGATCTGTCCTCGGAGCCATTGCCCCCTCAGGGGAGGACAGCTTGCCCTGTGATGGGAGGAAGCCAGGAGGCCCAGTGCACCTGGACCCCCGCCACCATTAGGCTTACCTGGCCAGGACTGCCCTCCTATGGAAGAACTAATTGGAGGTGGTGCCCATGGCAACTACATGAATTCTGGAAGTGACCCTTTGGGGCCAGCGTTGCATGCGATAATCCTCCACCTGCAGCATCAGCATCCCTTGTCAGTACTGGTTCAAATCTCAAGTGCTCTGCTTCCAATCCAGCTTCCTGCTAACATGCCTGGGAAGTGCTTGGGCCCCGCCACCTATGTGGGAGACCCCAGTGGAGTCTGGGCTCCTGACTTCCTATGGCCAGCCCCAGGGAGCCAGAAGATGGAAAGTTCGCTCTCTCTCAACTCTGCCTTTCATATATGTGTGTATATATATAATTGACTGCTTTCTTCCATGCCTGCAGCTTTTATAATCCAGGCTTGGTTGGCACAGCCCTCATGTCACCTGTGAAGTGGCATGTACCTCACGTCCTGTGCTGGGGTGCGGGGGGGACCCATCACGTGGGCATTGTAATGGTCAGAGCTGCGCCCACTGTGCCTGTTCCTGGTTTGCCTTGGTAAGCCCCATGGAGGCTCCATGGGGGAGGCTTGCACGTGGACAGTGCTCCCTGTGCTGTGTGGGCTTGGCTTTGGGCACTTCCCAGCCAGGCCGCCCCCCTCCCACCATCTGTCTGGGTACCGGAGTTCAGGGTTGCCCTGAGTGGTCTTGCAGATGCTCTGGTGCCTTGAGGCTGTTCTGGATTTTGTGGGAACCCCCCAGGTCCTCCACCTGATATAGATTTCAGCGAGGATGGGAAAGGTCTGGAGGGGTTCGTGGGTCTGTCTGACTGCTCTGCAGCTTCGGTTTGCTGAGTCCAGGGCAGGAGTCAAGGCCACATGGCTCCAAGACCAGGCAGACACTTCAGCATACCAAGGCCTGCCAGGGAGGGTTCTGGACCCTGCAAAGTGGCAATAACCTTGGCTGTGATCAGGGACTTGGCTCGAGAGGCCAAGCGCTCGGCCATACAGACCATGGGGTTTGAGCCTGGTGCCCCACGAGGGAGGGACGTAGGAAAGGGGAACTTACCCTGGCGGCTCCAGGGCCTTTACCCGCTGCCATCGCGCCTCTGCTCTGCGAGCCAGCGCGGTCCGGGCGCAAGGCCATCCTCCTGGCCGCCCCGCCCCGGGGAGGGGCCGGCCGCCGCCGCGTCCTGTCCTGTGGCCCAAGCTGCCCCACTTAGAGCAGGTGCGCTTGCTCCCTTCGGCCACGTTATGCTGCGGGGACTGAGGGGGCTGCGGGTACTCCTGCCGAGGGGCTCGTCTGGGCGCCCGCATTCCAGCCACTGCCGGGAAGGGTGAGTGTGGCGTCTGGAGGACTGGGGGCGTCGGCCTTATCTTAATGTTGTTTGGCGATTCAAGAAGAGTCTGTGCCGGGAGTAGTGCACCCGCAGGTGTGGGTGGTGGCAAGTCCCCCGGCCATGCAGGGCAGGTGCCTGAGCCGGTGAGGGTCCCCCAGCCGGTGAGGGTCCCCGGTGGTGGCTTGTTAGCCATCAGGTGGTCTGCAGTGGTTGTTAACTGTGTGTACTGACAGGTGGGAGTTCTCTGCAGTGCGGAGAGCCTCTGCAGACCCCACTCTCACAGTGCAATCGCCCAGGAAGGAGAGCCCTCAGCATTCCCCGTGGGCGTTGGGGGCCCGTAGCTCCCTTCAGCGCGGTTAGGAGGCCCTTGTGTTGGGTGGTGATTGGGTCTGCTTGCCAGCAGTGTCACGTCAATGCGATTTGTTTACACCTTGTGTCTTCAGCGCAGGCCCTGAAGTGCCTGCATTCTTGCATCTGGTCCATTTGTCTTTGCAGCCGCAGGTGGTTGCCTGGTCCTTGTGCTTGTGGGGCTTGTCCCTGGTCATCGGTGCTGTGTCACGTGGAAGGTGGCTTTACTGCCCCTCATCGATGAGATGGACGATGCTAGCATTTGTTCTGTCCAACGCGCAGGGTCGCCCCAAACATTAGTTACGAGGATGTGGTTGGAAACTGGGAAACCACATGAAAACATAATAACAGTGATGCTTTTTAAACAATGCAGAAGGAAGTAGAAATTTAACAAACGATCTGTTTAAAACTGATTAGATGAAAAAGCATAAAATTGGAACTTTGAAAAAAAGGTATTTATTTGATTTGGTTTGAAAGCCAGAGAGGAGGACAGAAAGAACTTCATCTGCTAACTGGTTCCTTTCAGGTCAGTCCGAAGCTGGGAGCCGGGAGCTTCTTCCAGGTGCCCTGTGTGAGTGCAGGGGCCCAAGGCCTTGGACCATCTCTGCTGCTTGCCCAGGCCATCAACAAGGAGCTGGATTGAAGATTGGAACAGCTGGGGCTTGAATCAGCACCCATATGGCATGCTGACACATAGACAAAGGATTAGCCTGTTATGCCACCACGTTTTTTTAAATCAATTTATTTCAAAGTAGTCTAAGTTACACAGAGAGAGACAGAGAAAGAAATATTCCATCTGCTGGTCTGCTCCCCAGATGGCTACAAAAGCCTGAGGGAGCCAGGCCCAAGCTAGGAACCAGGAGCTTCCTTCAGATCTCACATGTGGGTACAGGGATCCAAGGACTTGGACCATCTTGTGCTGCTTTTCCAAGCATGTTAGCAGGGAGCTGGATCATGGACAGTCAGATATACAAAGAGGAAGAGAGACAGAGAGGAAGGTCTTCTGTCCGATAATTCACTCCCCAAGTGACCACAATGGCTGGAGCTGAGCCAATCCGAAGCCAGGAGCCCAGATCCTCTTCGGAGTCTCCCACACAGGTGCAGGGTCCCAAGGCTTTGGGCCGTCCTCGACTGCTTTCCCAGGCCACAGGCAGGGAGCTGGATGGGAAACGGGGCTGCCAGAATTAGAACCGGCACCCATATGGGATCCTGGCACGTTCAAGGCGAGGACTTTAACCACTAGGCCACCGTGCTGGGACCAACAAGGCATGTCTCTGTGTTGAATGATTAGATTCAAATTCTTTCTGTTGCTGCCTATCTATAAATGCAATTCTGTATTCCAAAGAAATGCTTGCTTTTGAAAAGCACTTGGGAGAACACGTAGACCCTTCAAAATTTCCCGTTTCTAATTTGTAAGAGAGGAGACTGGCTTTTTGCCTAGCTTTAAGTTTGTTTGATTTCAGCTCTTTTATGACCATTCCACACTGCCTCCAGTAGGAGTTAAGGTGGCTGTCTGCAGAGTTCAAACCCTGCGTCCTGCCTAGACCCAAAGGCCATGCCGGACGGGAGTGTCCTCACAGCTCTGAGGAGGAAAATGGAGCATCTCTCAAGTAGCTCTTCATGTCACCTGGGGACTCAGGATTCCCAATCTTAAATGCTTCCCTAAAAACATCGTCTTCTTTCTCTTGAACATACCCCGAAGATCTTCTTGAAGTGTGATTGTCACCACTCTAAAGGGCTCAAATAAGTACAAGCTGTGTCCATGTCATTTGAGAATAAATTTATTGAGGCCAGCATCATGGCACAGTAGGCTAAACATATGCTTGTGGTGCTGACATCCTATGTGGGCGCCAATTCAAGTCCCTGCTACTCCACTTCCAATCCAGTTGCTTGCTAATGACTTGGGAAAACATGGAGGATGGCGTAAGTCACTGGGTCCCTGCATCCATGTGGGAAACCTGGAAGAAGGTCCAGGCTCCTGGCTCTGGACCAGCCCAGCTCTGGCCACTGCGGCCACGTGGGGAGTGAACCAGAAGATGCAAGAGCTCTCTGGCTCTCCTTTTTGCTCTGTATTTGAGAATAAATTTAAAATACCATTTCCCTTTAAGTATTCTGAGAGTTCCTTGTACAATTCTTGCAATTTTTGTAAGAAAAGAAGAAGAAAATCAGCCCCCAAGTCAGTTTAGCCAATAAGGAAGACATATCCTATAGTTGATAGAAATGGAGGCAGATGAGATTCAAATATCAGGACTGGTTAGCAATATTATACCTCAGATAAGCACACGACCTCCCTGCAAGCAGAGTAATAATAAACAGGTGGCATCATTGTATTAAATTTAGGGAAAGTTTCTGGTTTTTTCCCTATGTTTTAACACTCTCCCTCAAAATTGCAATTTTTAGACTCATGTGTTACTAAAATATAGTATGGGAGTCATCCCTGAATGCTTAGTAATTCGCATGGTGAGTTTTGGATGCAGACGTACACATAATTAAGGGATGAGATCAGGAAAGAAGGAAACGTGAGACATTAGCAGTCAGAAGTGTATTATTCACCAAGGCACGGGGCAGTATCTACCGTGTCCCCGCCCCCCAGTCCCAGGGGCTCAGCACACAGCAGTGAACCTCAGAGCTATTGAGAGTCAAGGGCTTCCTTGGACCTCCGGCAGGAGCAGTGTCCTTCTGTCCTCCCTAGTTCTACCCAGGACAGCAGCAACTTCCTGCATGGCTCCTCTGGTGGACTTAATCCCTCCTGCACAGCCACGGTCAGGCTTGTGCTGGCTGCTCCCTTGGTTCTATCTCCTATCTCCTGTCCCCTGCCAGGTTATATGCTGCCAAGAGCAAGGGATGCCACGCAGAGCCCTGTTCATGGCAGGGACTCAGGACAAGACCTGACGAGACAAGAAAGCAGTAATGGACCAGTCCACCATGCCCGCAAGCATCACTTTTTCTAGAAATGCATTCTTTGTGGGCTCTGTGTAGGACACAGGGGGCTGGGAGGCAGCCATGGCAGTTACCAATGGGTGTCGTTTGCCGCACGTGTGCAGATGTACGCCCTGAGCAGGGGCAGCCCCAGGGGTGAGTCACACCTGGAGCCTACTTTCAGGAGGTTTCCAGGGCAGCCCGCAGGTCAGCTGTGCAAGGTGCAAGCCTCGAGTGGTCACAGAGAAGCCCCAGCTGTTCCATCAGCGCCATGCAGATCTCAGGGGAGCAGGTAGCAGGAAGCTTCCCTCTTGTGCCTAACTAAAGCCACCACAGCTGAGCTAAGTCATCAGGCACAACATGATCTGTCTTGCAGGGAGAAACATCCAGCTTCCCCTGCAGAAACAACATGGAAGGACCGAGCCGAAACGGTGATCATTGGAGGGGGCTGCGTGGGGGTGAGCCTGGCCTACCACCTGGCCAAGGCAGGCATGAGGGACGTGGTCCTGCTGGAGAAGTCGGAGCTCACGGCCGGCTCCACCTGGCACGCAGTAAGCAGCTTTGCGTTTGACACGGTCTCTCTGCACAGCACTGTGAGCGGTGCAGGTTCACACCCGTCTGCTGCTTCACAGCCCTGCCCAGAGCGAGGAGCTGGACACTCATCCACTCTTGCCCTGTGGGTGGCAGACACCCAGTCACTTGAGCCACCACCTGCTGCCTCCCAGGATGTGCAGCTGGGTTCAATAGATTCCTAACTCAGATCCTCTGCACGTGGTGCCTTAGACACCAATCAGAATGCCCACCTCTTATCACAAACCCTGGATGTGATTGCTGCATTTATGAAAGTGAGCTGACCCCAAAAGGACTCCAAAATCCCAAAGGATGTGTTTTCTTCTGTTAGACTTCTTACTGTATGTGTTCTTGGTAAAGTCGCAGGAGAGAAAAGCATTGCACCTTCCTTACATGCTGTGAGACCTGCACGTACATGAGCAGTGCCATGCAAGGAGTGACACTGCAGTGACAGTACAACTACTGCTGTGGAAGCCCCAGGCTGCAACAAAGATAGAGTGAAAGATAAAAGTCCCTGCTTACAGTTTAGTCTCTGTGTGCTGCCAGCAGAGCAGGTGGTCTGTGTGCTGCCAGCAGAGCAGGTGGTAGGGGCAAGCAGTGGAAGTGAGGGACACTGGCCTCTCTGACTGGGGACCTATGAGAGCAGGTGCACTGGGCTGACAGGATGCAGTAGCAGCTTTAGAGCAGGGAGCCACGCACCTGTCACCCACACAAGGGCACTGACTCCTCCTAGCCATGCGGGAAGCAGGGAACCATGCAGTGTGGACGGCAGGACTTCCTGGTGGTCCCCAGCAGGTGACCAGACAGACTTTGGTGGGTGTTTCTGAGATCGGGTGCCTGCCACTGCTGGACTGCTACTACACAGGTCTGTTTGACTTCAATCAGACTGTGTTCCTGGGAGCTCCCCGAGGTGCAGAAGTAGCTGCCCCACGAGGGCGCAGACACTGTCACCAGAGAGAACTGGGTGTGTGCAACAGTTAAGAACTCGTGGTCCAGACGGGCCCTGGCACCAGCCAGCAGTGGGCAGAAAGGTTCCGACACAGCTTCTCTGCATTCTACAGTTCATCCAGGTTCATTCAGCATGTGGTGGTGTACCATCTGTGTGCTCATCCAACACAGGAAGCTCCGGCAGCTCTGCCTCATCACCAAGGCCTACCTACAAGGCCCTTCTGGAAGTCTGCAGGTGCAGAGACAGGGAGTTGGGTCAGGGGACCCTTTGCTGCTCCAGGGTCTTCAGTTTTAGGGGCATTTGGCCAGCCTGAGTACCATTCCCACGCATGCTGCCTGGGGAAAATACAATTAGATAAGCTAATTTTTATACAGAAAAAAAAGTCTGAAATCCATTCATGCGAGTAATCTTAGAAGCTGGTGGATTATGTGAAAACTGTATGGCTTTCAAGATTCTTTTTTTGCACTAAAATACACTTACCTCTTAATTCTGTTTTCCACAAGCTTCCCAAGTCCCTTTGTGTCCCCAGGCCTCGAATCTAAATCTCGGTTCTCTCTCTCCGGACGAGCCTTTCCTGCACTGTGACTTTATTATTGTTGCTTAAAGGGAAGAGTAGCAATGGTTTGAGCATGTTAATGTTCTCACTATTTCCTTTCCTCCCTCACCTTCAAGGCAGGTTTAACCACTTACTTTCATCCTGGAATAAATTTGAAGAAAATACATTATGACAGCATCAAGCTTTATGAGACACTTGAAGAAGAGACTGGGCAGGTGAGTGCCTCTCACACACAGCAGTCTAGAGGGCAGGGTCAGGCTGTGGAGCATGTGTGAGGATTCTGACGGATTTTGACATGTGTAGGGTGGTGTCCGTGGCACACACCATGGCGAATGTGGCACAGAAATAGGTTGAGTTTGCTGGAGGTAGTTTAGTTTCTGAGAAGAATGACGATGTTGCTCAAGTCCCAGCCCTTTTACTTTGTCCCTCTTAAGTACACTCCTGCACCTGCTCCCACTCCAGGCTCTCACAGGCTGAGACTGAAGGCTGCCCGTGTGCTTCTTGTGATGGCCATTGCCCGGTGCCACCAGCTGGTCCCGCTGGCCTTGCAGGACGGAAGGCTGCAGGCCTGCTCCAGTGTACTGGGTTCTCGTGTGTCAGTTTTTCATTGTGCTTTTTTTTCCTGGGTTTTGCTTTGCTGCCTCCTCTGTCTGAAGCAACATCTTCTCCCCCAGATGCCTTCCCCAGTCCACTCCTGGAGCTTATGTGCACAGCCCTGCAGGTTGCCTCAAGTGCAGAGGGCAGCATCCTTGTCCCTGCACCCCCGGGCCCTGCCAAGGGCTTGGCCAACTGCAGGTGGCCCTGCAGCATCAGATGTGGGCGTAGTTCCGTGCAGGCTTCGTGTCAGCATCATAGCACTGGGCTCCTCAAACCCTTTCTCCTTCTCTGTTCCACTATGCAAATGCCCACCCACCCGTGTGACCGTGGTCACACGCTGAGCTCCATTTGCACCTGTGCACCAGGAACACATTTTTTTTTTTTAATTGGAAAGGCAGATATACAGAGAGGAGGAGAGACAGAGAGGAAGATCCTCTGTCCGAAGGTTCACTCCTCAAGCGGCCGCAACAGCTGGAGCTGAGCCAATCCGAAGCCAGGAGCCAGGAGCTCTTTCAGGTCTCCCATGCGAGTGCAGGGTCCCAAGACTTTGGGCCATCCCTGACTGCTTTCCCAGGCCACAAGCAGGGAGCTGGATGGGAAGCGGGGTGCCGGGATTAGAACCAGTGCCCATATGGGATCCTGGCACGTACAAGGCAAGGACTTTAACCACTATGCAATCGTGCCGGTCCCCAGGAACACTTTTGACTTGCTTTGCTCACAGCAGCGTACCTAGAGCCTGGGGAGGAACTTGCTGGCCAAATACAACTTCACAGAAGCTGTCATCTCTGCTTCCTCCCATACACCTGCCTTGTCCCCATCCTGGCTCACTGCTGTGCTCCTGTTTGCACAGGCCGTAGGATTCCACCAGCCCGGCAGCGTCCGCATCGCCACAACGCCTGTGAGGGTGGATGAGTTTAAGTATCAGATGACACGCAACGGCTGGCATGCGACAGAGCAGTACATCATTGGGCCCGAGAAGGTCCAGGAGATGTTCCCTTTACTCAACATGGACAAGGTATTGACCCCAGGGCCTGGTCACTGCGTGGAGGCTTGCCCTGAGATGTGAAAAGCACTAAGATGCTCATCCACACGGGAAAGCCTTTGGGCACCCATCCTGGGCGGCGGCGTTGGGTGATTTAAGTCGGACTTGGGCTGTTGTATTTGTTAAATGAAATGTGAAAGGGAAATGGAAATCTGTGAACTTCCCACCACTGGCAACTGAGAAAGCATTTTCTTTATTTTTCAAGGATGTATTTATTGGAAAGCCAGGGTGACATGGGGGCAGGAGAAGGAGGGAGAGAGAGAGAGAGATTACCCATGCACTGGTTCCCTGCCCAATTGGCCTCAATGGCTGGGGCTGGGCCAGGCTGAATGCAGAAGTTTGGGGCTCCCTCCAGCTCTCCTTGTGGGTACAGGGGCTGCCTTCCCCAGGCCGTAAGCAGGGGCTGGATTGGAAGTGGAGCTGCCCCATCTCCAACTGGGTGATACTGGTGTTACCGGTGGTGGCCCAGCGTGCTGTGCACAGTGCTGGCCCCTGAGGAAGCGCGTTCAGTAACTCTGTGTTACTGTGGCCCCCACACTGAGGGGTTTCCATGCAGCATCTCCAGAGAATAAACAGCAAAACCCTGTGTCCATTTAAAAATGGAGGTCAGTGACGCCACGTGGGCCCACACATGCCAGCTGGTAGCTCACTATGCCACCCTCACGACTCTGGGCCAGACTGCGGTCTGCCTCTCTGGGCCTGGGTCTCCCTCTCTGGGTCTGGATCTCCCTCTCTGGGTCTGGATCTCCCTCTCTGGGCCTGGTTCTCCCTCTCTGGGTCTGGTTCTCCCTCTCTGGGCCTGGATCTCCCTCTCTGGGCCTGGGTCTCCCTCTCTGGGCCTGGGTCTCCCTCTCTGGGCTTGGTTCTCCCTCTCTGGGTCTGGTTCTCTCTCTCTGGGCCTGGGTCTCCCTCTCTGGGTCTGGTTCTCCCTCTCTGGGTCTGGGTCTCCCTCTCTGGGTCTGGATCTCCCTCTCTGGGTCTGGATCTCCCTCTCTGGGCCTGGGTCTCCCTCTCTGGGTCTGGTTCTCCCTCTCTGGGCCTGGTTCTCCCTCTCTGGGTCTGGTTCTCCCTCTCTGGGTCTGGGTCTCCCTCTCTGGGCCTGGATCTCCCTCTCTGGGTCTGGATCTCCCTCTCTGGGCCTGGTTCTCCCTCTCTGGGCCTGGGTCTCCCTCTCTGGGCCTGGTTCTCCCTCTCTGGGCTTGGTTCTCCCTCTCTGGGCCTGGTTCTCCCTCTCTGGGCTTGGTTCTCCCTCTCTGGGCTTGGTTCTCCCTCTCTGGGCCTGGGTCTCCCTCTCTGGGCTTGGTTCTCCCTCTCTGGACTGCATACTGCAACTTATCTTCACTTCCTGGTATGCTAGTCTCCATGATACCGTTCGTCTGAGTGTAACATCAGTCCCTTCCAGATGATGGCTGTCGACACCAGGGTGTGACTGCCACTCCTGTGCCAACGTGGCTGCCAGAGCTCCACGTGCATTCCAGGCAGCTGGACAGAGAGAGGGACTTGGGGTGGGTGGAGGGTACAAGCCGCTGTCTTGGTCCAGTGGTGAGTGGGGGTCTGACAGGTAAAGCTTCTGCCTGCAACAGCAGCATCCCATGTGTAGGCTGTTCTTCCCATCCAGCTCCACAGGATGATCCAAGTCCTTGGGTCCCTGTTAGCCAGGTAGGAGACCACAGTGGAACTCCCAGCTTCAGCCTGGCTCAGCCCTGGCTGCTGTGGCCATCTGAGGAGAGAGGCTGGAAGATCTCTGTCTCCCTCTCTCTGTTGCTCTTTCTCTTTCCAATAAATATGTAAATGGAAGTTTTTAAGACATAAAAATGTTTTGTGGAAGCTGCCATGTGATAGCTTTACCTGCATTTCCATTTCCATGGACCAGAACTTGTAAGTCCACTGGTAGAGCAGCTGCTGAGACCCCTGGAAAGCAGTAGTACTTCTGTCCCTGCTGCAGGAGGGCCGGGAGGAGGCGGGGCTGTGCTAACGCCGGTCCTTCTGTGTCCGGCGCAGGTGTTGGCTGGCCTCTATAACCCCGGAGATGGTCACATCGACCCATACTCGCTGACCATGGCCCTGGCCGCTGGGGCCAGGAAGTACGGGGCCCTTTTGAAGTACCCTGCCCCGGTAACTTCGCTGACACTGAGATCTGATGGTTTGTGGGACGTGGAAACTCCTCAGGGCTCGGTGAAGGCCAAGCGCGTCGTCAATGCCGCAGGTGAGTTCCCCCGGGGGCCTGTGCGGGCACGGCCTCGTCGGGCCCAGCTGGACTTGACTCTGGCTTCAGGCGCCGGGTGGCCTCCACTTGAGCCTGTCGGAGCTCTCCTGCAGTCAGCTCAATAACGCCATGGTGGCAAGCCTCCACCTTCCTGGGAGACCAACACGTGAGCCAGTCTGCATCTCCAGCTGTCACGTAGCTTCAGTGTGACGCCTCTCTCCTCTCTTTCTTGTCCAGATATTTATTTATATCCAAACTATGTGTATTTCCCTTCCTGTGTCCACTCTCTTCATTGCTGATTTTCCTTCTTGTCCTCAGCTTGCTTTGCTGGAGTGGCTTTGGTCACCTGCGTCTTTTCTCACCCATGTCTGATTACTTTGGACGCTGGCAGAAACATGCTTAACCTTTGCTTTCCAGAGTGTTCGCTAATGTATTTCACGATCTTTTGTTCAGGCTGTTTGGTTATAGTTTAGCCTCCTAAAGTAGTGAAGCCTTGGCCCATTCCTGTTCCTTGCCAAGGAGCTCACTTGCACTGGTGTTTTCTTTGTCACCTGGGAGACAGTGCCTGATGTAAAATGGCTCCTCCTCGCTGGCCTCCTGCATTGGCCCTTGGTGCTGGAGGGAGGAAAATGGTCCAGCGTGGCTGACGTGTAATCTTGGCTGGCTTGCATTAACTGACTAGACATATAGAGGAGGTAGACAGTTAGGCGGCCTTGACCAGCAGGCACCAACACTATAAGGCACTGCATGATAGAAGTTGTTTAGGCAGGGGCAGTCATATAGTTCTATATGCTTATGCAAATATCTCACTTTTATTTTAAGGCTACAGTAAATAAGTCAGTAGCTGAACTGAAAAATTTATAAATGCATTTGAATAAGACGGATTTTTTTTTCAATTTATGCTTTTAATTAAAGCAAGTAGACTGAGGAGACTGCGATGATTTGAATAAGTAGGTTTTTTTGTTTGTTTTGGAAAATCAGATATACAGAGAAGAGGAGAGACAGAGAGGAAGATCCTCTGTCCGATGGTTCACTCCCCAAGAGGCCACAAAGGCTGAAGCTGTGCCGATCTGATCCAAAGCCAGGAGTCTGGAGCCTCCTCCAGGTCTCCCACGCGGGTGCAGGGTCCCAAGGCTTTGGGCCGTCCTCGACTGCTTTCCCAGGCCACAAGCAGGGAGCTGGACGGGAAGCAGGGCCGCCAGGATTAGAACTGGTGCTCATATGGGATGCTGGTGCATTAAAGGAAAGGACTTTAGCCATTAGGTTTTTTGTTTTTTGTTTTTAACTTCTTTTTTTACAACTGCTCTAGTATGCATAACTAGAACATGCGATTTTACTGTATGTTCCTACACAGTTCTGGCATGGCAATGTATGTCTTTCTAATAGTAGGAATGAAACACATGCCTGAATTATCAAATGACCAACACACAGCTCAGCTGCCTGCAGGTTGAAGCTCTGGCTTTTCCAGGAGGTGGCTGGGGTCACTTTACAAGGAGGAGCAATGTAGCTGCCAGGCCAACATAAAACAGAGGAACGCCAGGGTGGCACCAGGGTGTTTAACAGACATCAGCTTTGGCATCAAGAGTAATGGCCCGGGGTCCCAGGCTAGCTCAGAATCAGTAATTGTGGCTGAATGAGAAAGAGAGACATGCAAACACACACATACACACAGAGCAGCCCCTTAGACTCTGAGAAATAAAGAAACAGAAATGGTGGCACTAGAGAGCATGTGACTGCTAAGGCAGTGACGTAAGCAGGGTTCTGTGGTCACTCGGATTATTACCAAACAGGCAAGCAGGCGGAAGCCCCTCAACAAAGCAACCCACCTAAGGGTCAGGTGGTATCACATCCCGCGTGCACCACTGCCGGCTTCACCATGGGCTCCCTGGAGGCAGCAAGGAAGGGCGTCACAGGTATCTTCAGCATTCTGGGCAATGCCAAGGGTCTTTTGTCTCTTCTTCCCCCATTCTAGTTTGCAGACAAAGCGTGTGGCTTTGTTTGGCTGCTCCTCAGACTCTGCTGTGACTACTTAAGCCCCACGAATGTTTTATTTTAGTAAAACTTGCTGCATCCATGTCAGCAGACCCTTGCTTGCCCTGTACAAGTGGTGACATTCTGGAATGTTCTATTGAAGGGTTCTGGGCACGCGAAGTGGGCAAGATGATCGGCCTGCAGCACCCTCTCATCCCTGTCCAGCATCAGTACCTCGTCACGGCCACCATCCCTGAGGTGAAGGCTCTGAAACGAGAGCTCGCCGTGCTCCGGGACCTGGAAGGGTCTTACTACGTCCGGCAGGAACGGGACGGCCTCCTGCTGGGCCCGTACGAAAGCCAGGAGAAAATGAAACTTCAGGACACCTGGGTCACCAGCGGAGTCCCTCCAGGTGGGTTCACGGCGCGTGCCGTGCGCCGAGGGTGACTGACCGCAGGGCCAGCATCCCGTCTGGGTGCTGATTCTTGTCATGGCTGCTCCGCACTGACACAGCTGGGAAGCCTGAGTGTGTGGGCCCTTACAGCCACATGGGAGGATCAGCTTCCCGGCTCTGGACCCCAGCCTGATCCAGCCTTGGCTGATGTGACTGTTTGTGGAGGGAACCAGCAGATGGATGGTCTCTCTGAATTTCAAAAAAATAAAAAGAAGTCCGTCTTTATGATGGTGATGATTACTGCTGTTATCATTTTGGTCTTGTTAAAAAGTCCATTTTGGTCAGACCCTCCATGGCTGGGACCAACAGTAAAGACAGTCCCCGGATCCCAGGCAGGTAGATTCCTGGGATGCTGGAGATGAGCCGCTTTGAACAGTCACGGCAGGGATGAGGAAGGAGGGGCAGCGGCAGGAGTCACTGTGGGAGCATGAAGGTGTGTGCAACAGGTGGGGCGTGGGGCCTGCCAGCGCCAACTTCCCACCGACCTGTGTCTCCCCACTCTGGTCTCAGGGTTTGCATAAAGCTGCAATGGTGCTGCCATGGGGGAAGCAGACAGGTGTGACAGGCAGGGGTGAAGCTGCAGGGGCTGGCACAGCGTAGGGGACAGGAGGGAAGGCTCAACCTCCCCTGCCCCGGGCTCATGTGGGAGGCGCTACAGCTTCTCCCTCAAGTCTTGCTGGAGCTGGGTCTGCTTTTGTCTTCTGGGAAACACTTTTTGTTTGAAAGACCCCTCTGCTGGTTCCCTCCCCAGATGCTCACAACAGCCAGGTTGAAACCAGGAGCATCTGAGGTCCCGGGTAGGTGTGGCAGGGTAGGTGTGGCAGGGTGGTCGCTGTCTCTCAGGACGCGCGTCGCCAAGGAGGAGCTTTAGAGGTCTTCCTGGGCTCTCCCATTGGGGATGCTGGAAGCCCAGCATCACCCTGCAGGACCAGAGCAAGGAGACGGCTCAGCCTCTGAAACATCATGGGGAAGCAGAGAACAGCCCCAAGTGGTGCCTTCTAGGATCACGCTTTCATTCTTGCCTCAGGAAGGACTGTGCCCCTCCACCCTGTTGCTCCGAGAGGAGGCCATGGAGCGATCTTCCCGTGAAAGGGCCTGACTCTGGGCTGTGGTTTTGCTGTCTGTCTGGCCCTGGTTGCCGCTCCTCCAAGCAGCTGTTGGGTTTCAGCCATCCCAGCTATGGACCTCCGTGCAGCTGGCCCACCACACAGGGGAGGCTGGCTGCACCTCTGTGGAAGCCCCTGGTGGTGGGGAGGCCTTCGGAAGCTCATCAGAACCCACGGTGGCTCTTGGATGATTGTGCCCTGAGACCCTGCCTCTTGTCCCAGCACGCAGCCCCTGGCTGTGGGAGGGAGCTGGCAGAGGGAGGCCTCTGTGCCATTCTTGCAGGGACAGTGGAAGGGCCCCAACCCCTGACCCTCAGCCCTGAGGTGGGGTTCCCTGCTCTCCGCATCCTGGAGACACTGTGAGCTCCTGTGTGCTCCCACCTTGCAGGGGGTGAAGCAGGCTCTTAGGATTAATTAATTCAGGGGTAAAGAGCTGTCTTGGCAAACCAAGTTGTAGGCTGTTTTTTTTTTTTTAAGGACTTTCGGATAAAACAATGGAATCAGGAGGCATCCATTTGTATGCTCTAGTAACTGGAAACAATGAGCTCACCTGCTTTTGTTTCAAGGGCGGTGATGTCGTGAGAGTTTAGACATGTAAACACAAATGTGACCACTCTCTGGCCTCTCTCATCACTCAGAATGCCCCTGTCCACACGCCATGGTGCCCCTACCCTGCCGTCTCTCCAGGTTTCGGGAAGGAGCTCTTTGAGGCTGACCTGGACCGGCTGGCAAAGCACCTGGAAATGGCCATGGAGATGATCCCGGCCCTGAAGCAGGCCGACATCGTCAATGTGGTCAACGGCCCCATCACCTATACGCCTGACATCCTGCCCATGGTGGGGCCCCACCAAGGGGTCCGCAACTATTGGGTGGCCGTGGGCTTTGGGTAAGCGCCCCTGGGACTCCGTGTGTGTCTGGGTCTGGTGTTAGCAGGTGCAGGTAGGACCACGGGGGACACAGCCAAGGAATAGTGTAAGGAGTACACGTGCTAGACACCGGCTGTGGTGTAGCCCTTAAAGGGTCACACTTAGAACTCTGTGGCTTTCTGGAACTTTCTATATTTTCTGTCATTTCTGTTTGGGTCCTTTTTGAAGCTGAGTATGCTCAGCTTGATCACATTGCCCTGGTTTTCATGACGCCCTGTGGTGAAGGTCCTTCGAGTGTGTGTCACCATAGCATATGCTTGTCCAGTGTGACTGCTTCCTGTTCACTCCTTGGGGGGCTGTGACGTTTCATTTCTGCTGTTTGCCCCAGGATGTCAAATGCTCTTGTATCACGGCCCTGAATTCTTTCTTCCCCGTTGGAGCTGACCGTTTGTTCTGCTGGTCAGGGTGGCCTTCTCTGACCCTGCCTTTGTCCATGCGTGGCTGCAGGAAGTGTTCATCACTGCCCTCTGACCTCCTAAGGAAGTACCGTTCGTAACAAGTTTCACGTTTGTTCTTCAAAAATAGCACAGTGGTGTCTTCTTGTGGGAAAAGTCAGCATATCCAGTGCCGGCTGAGGCCTCCCCAGCTTCTTAGAACTTCCGGCTCTCGCTGCTCAGCTGCTGAGCTTGGAGGCACTGGGCTTTCTTGTTGGGATGTCTGCTGATGGAACTCCTTAGCTAGTTTCCTTCCCACTCTGTTCATTCAGCTTCATGGCTGCTGCTTTGACTTAAAGCACAGAGAAATGCACCCCCAAAAGTAATTAGTAGATGAGGGCCAGTGGGTACTGTGCACATGGTGGAGACCAGAATCACCTTTGGAGCGGTGGGGCGGTGTGCAGGTGACCTGGCCGCTCACCGTGTCCCGTGGAGGCTGGGGCGGTGTGCAGGTGACCTGGCCGCTCACCGTGTCCCGTGGAGGCTGGGGCAGTGTGCGGGTGACCTGGCCGCTCACCGTGTCCCGTGGAGGCTGGGTTGGAGGGAGGGTAATATATTCCCTTATCATCTCACTTGGAAAAGGAAACAAGGACCTTTCCCATTAAGTGACCGATTCGCAGAATTTGGGGTCCAGTGCTCCTGTCCCCAGTCTTCCCTGGACAGTGCCTTAGTGGCCTGAATGCTGCTAGGAACATGTCCCTGTTGCTCCACAGTGAGCTCACCATGAGGGGCAGAGCTGAGGTGAGTGTGCCCTGGCCTGGCCACTCTACAGGAATCGGTTATCCCACTAAGTGGCCGCCTTTCCTGCCTGCCAGCCCCACACCAGCCAGGAGTTCATTTGCATGGGTTTCTGTCTTCAGGGGACAAGCAAACCAGCAGCTTGAGTCTGGGTGCTGAATGTGTGGGTTTTAGGAACGGTGCATAGGGTAGGACCATGTTCTCTGTGCATGCCGTGGAGCTGGGGCCCTGCAAGTTACCCAGGCGTGTTTCAGTGGTAGTGACAGGGTGCCTGCCTGTCTCTGTGTCTGGAAGCTATGGCATCATCCATGCTGGCGGCGTCGGGAAGTTCCTCAGCGAGTGGATCCTGCACGGGGAGCCTCCTTTCGATCTGATAGAATTGGACCCCAATCGCTACGGCAGCTGGACCACCCCTCAGTACACCGAGGCCAAAGCCAGGGAGTCCTATGGCTTCAACAACGTGGGTGAGGGGCAGGCCTGGCAGACCATCCTGTTGTTGCTTGGATGTCTGTGGGGAGGAACCCTAAGGGGTGTGTGTGTGTGTGTGTATGTGCGTGCGTGTGTGTGTGTGCACACTGGGGCCTGCTGTGCAGTGCCAAGGTGATCTTGGATACTATTGATGAAGTGTGGGTTCTTCTTCACCCTGTGCCGGTCAGTGGACATGGCAGCTTTGTGCCAGACCTAAAGCATTCATGCACAATGTGCCCCTGAACCTCAGGTTTCCTATTTGCTGAGTCCCTGCATGGCACCATGGCACCATGGCACTGCTGTGGGCTGCTGCTGACCCTGCCTGCTCTCCCCTGCAGTCGGCTATCCTAAAGAGGAGCGCTTTGCTGGGCGGCCGACGCAGCGCGTCAGCGGCCTGTACGACATCCTGCGGTCCAAGTGCTCCATGGGCTTCCACGCAGGCTGGGAGCAGCCACATTGGTTCTACAGAGCTGGCCAGGACACCCAGTACAGGTACGTGGGCCAGGGCTGCAGCCTGCCCAGGGAAGAGGCTGGCAGGCAGAGGGAGGGGTGGCAGGGAAGCACCGCCCCCTGCCCCATGCATGGCTCCTCCCATCCCAGTAGTTGAAGCCCCTTCTCACAGGAGTCCTCTTCTCATTGGAGCAGCAGCCTAGGCCAGCTGCCACTGTCCTGTGTGGCCTGTAGCTAGGTGCCGCTGTCCTGTGTGGCCTGCAGCTAGACCAGGTGCCACTGTCCTGCGTGGCCTGTAGCTAGACCAGGTGCCGCTGTCCTGCGTGGCCTGTAGCTAGACCAGGTGCCGCTGTCCTGCGTGGCCTGTAGCTAGACCAGCAGCGCCCCTCCTGCTTGACATGCCCAGCTTGTCTCTCCCTGTGACTGCCTTCCAGACAGTTCTGTTGAAAGGCACTTCCTAGCCGTGGGGTGAGGTGCTAATGCTGTTAAAGGGGAGAGATGTTAGTGCTTCATAGCGCCAGAGCTTCCTGTGAGCCCCACACTGCATGCCAAAGTTGCCCTTGGGTGTTAGCGGTGGCCATGCCCTTCTCATAAGTCCAGACACCAAGAGAAGACACTTAGGAAATCTGGAAGGAGTTACATTAATTTCAGGCTGCTGCTTTGCTTTGTTAAACAGGTTTGATGCCTGCCGGAAGGCCACATCTCTATGCTAGACAGTGTAGCTCAGGAGTGCCAGGCTCTGCAGGCTGCAGTTCTAGCCGCCTGAGTGGTCAGACAGTACTTTCTTTTGTCTTAGATGGCTCTCTTCCCCATTTTGGAATGCCTGAGCTGGCCTGTTTTTTCTGCCATTTTAGTGATTATCCGTGTAGACTTGGCCCCAGCTGCCCAGCTGCAGGGCTGTGTTGGGCATCGACTTTGTAAAGGAGAGAGGTACTTTGTAATGTTGGGAGAGCTCTGTCCATGCCCAGGCCTGACATGAACCAACACTGTGCTCTGAAAAGGAAGTTATAGGCCTAGGTCTGCACTGCTGCGAGCGTGGGCACTGCCTGCGTGGGCACCACCTGCGTGGGCACCACCTGCGTGGGCACCGCCTGGGAGCCTGTTAGAATGCACCCTGGGGCCCCAGCCCAGGCACAGGGCTTTCGAACCTGGACATTAACAAATGCAGGTGACTATATTCCCAGACTGACATTTGAGAAGCACGAGTTAGATGGCTCTCCTTCCCAGATACTCTGAATTCATGAAGCCCACCTCTGGTGGCTTCCAAGTGGTGCCCAGTGCCCACGGGGTGCACCCAGGCGTGACCAGCACAGAGTGCCTCACATCCAAGCTCAGGAAACTTCGCGTTCTGCCTCCTTTGGTTAATTAGTGCTTCACTCACCGGGAAGTGGGTCCAAGGGGCAGAGGAGGGACGTGGAAAGCTCAGTGTCCAACACACACGTCCAAACCGCAGCACAAAATTTCAGAATTCACCTCCCCTACCCACCACCTCACCCCTCACACCATAGAATTTTCCAGATGACTGGAGTTGATCAAAATATCCTTGGTCCTTCGTTTCTTGAAAGTAAGCAAAAATTGTATAACATTGTGTTGCAGGCCGAGTTTCAGGCGCACCAATTGGTTTGAGTCTGTAGGCTGTGAGTACAAACAGGTTATGCAAAGAGTAGGGGTGATCGACCTGTCGCCCTTCGGCAAGTTCAGCGTCAAAGGCCCGGACTCCGTCACACTGCTGGACCACCTGTTTGCTAACATCATCCCCAAGGTAAGCGGACGAGGTCGGAATTCTGACCCATCGATTGTCCAGCCCCTTGTTTTCCCCATAAACCCATGTTATTTTAGTTCACCGGCTGATGTCTGTGAGAATCAGAACGCAGGGACACGTGAGCCTGTGTGCAGGGTCACACTCTGTCCACTGAATTGTCATTCAGGGCTTGGGACTTTGCTGAACTATGTCAACAGGAAGTTAACACTGGATGCCATGAAGCAGAGCATCACTCCCACAATAGTCTAAGAGACTGAGTTGAGAACAGGCGCGCAGCCTGGGTGTGAAGCTGCTAGCCGCAGTGCGTGCCGGGCGGTTCTCGGGTCAGCACCGCAGTTCTCCCACGTGTGCTAGAAGGGGCACAAGATGTTGCTTCGGTGCTGAGGGGCTCTGCCTGCTTCTGCCTAGGTGGGTTTCACCAACATAAGTCACATGCTGACACCAAGAGGCCGGGTGTATGCCGAACTGACAGTCTCCCACCAGGCCCCTGGGGAGTTTCTGCTGGTGACTGGTTCCGGGTCAGAGCTTCACGACCTCAGGTGAGGGTCTGCCCTGGGGCGGGACCTCCACCTTGCACTTGTGCACAACCACTGCTTTACACTGAGGAGCTTCCTCTCACCGGGGCTCGAGTTAATATATGACTTTAACCTTCATATCTGACCACCTCACGTAAGCATCAGGGCTTTCATGGAAGGGACGCCTCCCAGCTTCCTGTAGCAGGCAACCCGGCAGCGGATTAAGTGCGTCCGGTCCTGCCGGTTCCCACTGGGTAGGCATCACGACGTGCCATCTCTCTTACGCCATGTCCCAACCCATCTTCTTTGAGCCTTGCAGGTTGTATATTGTCCCCATTTGTAGGTTCGGACCCTGAGGTGTGGCTGAGGCCGGTCACAATGGCCAGTCTGCCTCTGCGACTCTCATGGCACAGGTGACCCCTTCACTCAACCCTCTTCTGGGGCGGGCTCCCCCTGGGAGGTGCTTGGTGCCCTGTGGCCCCAGCACAGCAGCTGACCTGCAAAGCTGAGCCTCGTGCCAGCCCTTAGTCCTCCATGGAGTGCGAGTCCAGACGAGTGTGTCACAGTGGGTGTGCACAGCTGTAGGCATGACTTGATGGAGTATCAGCCAGCCCTGAAGCCAAGGAGGCCAGCACGAGCTGTCATCTTTTCCTTATGATGTCCTGTGTCTAGTGGCAGATCCATTGTTGATCTGTGGCTGTGCAGGTGGGCCTCCTGTGTAGAGGTGTTGGAAAACACTGGCTTGAAGTTGGGTTCTAGAGATGGAATCAGTGGTTTAGATGCAATAAAACTGTCACCATTGAAAGTAATCCCATGCAGAGAGTGTCTAAGGAGGAGGCTCCTCTGTTCTGTGGGAGATCACCCCAGGGCTCCCAGGTGGGTGATTCGGAGACCACTGGCAGCTCAGCCCAGGGCATCCTTGGTGTTCAGAACCATGTATCTGCGTGTCATGCACCTGGGGACTCTGGTCCTTCCAGACAGGGAGTCGGTATCAGCGGAGTGCCTCTTGGCAGCTGTGTCTAACACGGTGCTTGTGACTTGAGTGCAGATGGATGGAAGAAGCGGTGGTCAGAGGTGGCTATGATGTGCAAATCCACAACCTCACCGAGGAGCTGGGGGTCCTGGGCGTGGCCGGGCCTCTGGCCAGGCAGGTCCTGCAGAAACTGACGGTGGAGGATCTCAGCGAGGACGCCTTCAAGTTCCTCCAGAGCAGGCAGCTCCAGGTCGCTGGCATTCCTGTGACGGCCATTAGGATCTCTTACACTGGTAAGAACCGGAAGCAAGGCTGAACTGAGAGAGATGTGTGCTCTGTACTACTACCAGAGATGTGTACGTGCAAGGAAACGGATGGCTGGTCACATGCCCTTCATGCAACTCATGCCTACTCACACTCAGCCATGCACACTCACCTACACACACACCACACTCAGCTGTGCACACTCACCTACACACACCACACTCAGCCGTGCACACTCACTCGGCCATGCACACTCACCTACACACACCACACTCAGCCGTGCACACTCACTCGGCCATGCACACTCACCTACACACACCACACTCAGCCATGCACACTCAGCCATGCACACTCACCTACACACACCACACTCAGCCATGCACACTCGGCCATGCACACTCACCTACACACACCACACTCAGCTGTGCACACTCACTCGGCCATGCACACTCACCTACACACACCACACTCAGCCATGCACACTCACTCGGCCATGCACACTCACCTACACACACCACACTCAGCCGTGCACACTCACTTGGCCATGCACACTCACCTACACACACCACACTCAGCTGTGCACACTCACACTCAGCCTTGCATACTGACACTCACACTCAGCCATGCACACTCACCTACACACCACACTCACCTACACACACTCACTCGGCTATGCACACTCACCTACACACACTCACACTCGGCCATACACACTCACCTACACACACCCCACTCAGCCATGCACACTCACACTTAGCTGTGCATACTGACACACTCAGCCATGCACACTCACCTACACACACTCACACCCATGGGGCTGGGGCATGGGAGGTGGGTGCTAGGACAGCTTGCTGCAAGCTGGCCCTTTCGAAGCCAAGCACATGCTGCTGCCTGAGTGGACTTGTGCCACTGCAGATGTGTGGGCTCAGCACCCCTGTGTGTGTGTGCAGGTGAGCTGGGCTGGGAGCTGTTCCACCGGCGGGAGGAGTCCTCAGCCCTCTATCACGCCATCATGGATGCCGGCCAGGAGGAGGCCATTGACAACTTCGGGACATTCGCCCTGAATGCCCTGCGGCTGGAGAAGGCTTTCCGCGCCTGGGGCTCAGAGGTAGGCTGCAGCGTTCCCAGGCCTCTGCTCCTGCCCCACAGGGACGGAGTGCCCCTTCAGATCTCTCCCCCTCCCCGTGCACTCCTCAGCTACCCTGCCTCTGCCCTGTGGGGCGGGGGGAGTGCGCCTTCAGACGCCTCCTCACTCCCTGTCCCGTGTACCCCCCATCTTCTCCTGCTCTTACACCTGTTGTTATGATGCTCATGCTGTGGGCAGAGTGACTGCCCAGTGTGACCAGCTGTGGCTTTTCTCTGCCACTCCTTCCTCCTTCCCTCCCTGCTTCCTTTGTTGGTGGGGGGGGTGGGGAAGAGGAGGAGAGGGCTGCCTCCATCCATAGGGCAACTCCCCAAATGCCCGCATCAGCCTGGGCTTGGCTGGCAACGTCACCCAGGTCTCCTGTGGGTGGGCAGAAACCCCCTTGCTTGAGCCCCACTGTGGGAAGCTGGGGTTAGACACAGACAACCCCAAGTGACAGGGCCCCCTGATGAGCGTCTGAACCACCAGGCTGAACTGTGCCCTGAGTTCCTCCCAGCACTCTGCCTGGAGGTCTGTACAGCCTTCTCTCATGCCTGCTGTCTTCCCACTTGGCCAAGGTCTCCATGAACCGGCCTGGGCTGTCATCGGATCGGCTCTCATCTGCAGCACAGCTGGCTCTGTGGCCTGCTCACACGGTCAGATCAGGTCGTTTCCCTGAAAGACAGTAGTGACCTCAGGCCTGAGAGCTGAGATGAGGGACAGTGATTAAGAAAAAAGAAAAGGCTCCAGAGTGGGGACTGCGGGTTTACTTACAAGGCACATGCAGTGAACTTTCCAGAATGTCTGTGTTCCTGTCAATGCAACGTTTACATGCCCCCTCCTTCCAGCACTGGATAATCTGTCAAAGTTCCGGGTGTCTGCCACAGTGAACCCCATTGGAGGCTCAGCAGCAGAGGGCCACACTGTGCAGGGAAGAAGGCCAGGGCTGGCTTTGGGGTCAGAACTCGGCCCCTGGCCAGTCCCGCTGGCTCCGGCAGTGCGAGCGCGCCCTCTAGTGACACTGCAACCCTCGGCAGTCTCCAGACTTTTTTTTTTTTAACTTTCAAGAAATTCTGAAACTTTTCAAGTGAACAGATGAAAATTGAGAGTAGATCAAATTAAGAGACATGAGACCGAATTTCCTATTATGCAAAACAAATTTATATTTTCTGGGATTATGCAAAATACTGTGTTGTCTTTGAAAGTCTGACCATTTTTTTAGGGAGTTAAACCCGTTCCCTTGGAGCAAAAGAGAACAACAAAATACAGAGATGAAAACTATTCAGTTGAAGTGCATTGCCAAGTCCCAGCTAAGCCCGGCTCGGTGGACAGGCCAGAGGCCCCAGCGTGTCTGCGGGGTCTGAGCGCAGTGTCCATGCTTCCCTTTTCTGAACCCTCGAGAAGCCGTTCCTGTTCTACCGCCTGCCTTTCCTTCTTGAGCTCTTTTTTTTTTTTTTTTTTTTTTTTTTTGCTAATTGTAGAATCAGTAAATTACATAATGTTCCCAAACCCACTTATGTAAAGTTATTACATAAGACTACGGAGGGCTATTTCTGGAAGGTACACCAAGTGCTACCCCCTCGAGGTGCTGGTTAAAAAGGGGGGGGCTTCTAAATTAACCATGTGCCCTTGACGGTGTTTGCTGAAAGGCCGCGCTCGAATGTTGGATTAAAGACCTGTTTTAGCGCCCACACCACACCATAACTGGTCTAATCCAGAGTCTGAATCTCAAAGACCATGGTAGTGTTTTCTTGCCTCAGAAGACACTGGGTGCAAGTGATGTGTGCTTTCCTTTTAGATGAACTGTGATACAAATCCTTTGGAAGCTGGGCTGGAGTATTTCATCAAGCTGGACAAGGTAGGTTTACATCCGAAGGGTGCTGGAAGTGCTTCGTTAGAATGTGTTGTGGCTTCATGACAACCTGAGCGTGACCTCCGGAGAAGTGAGCTGAGCATAAATGGACACTCCATGGTACTCATGTGTCAACTTGGATCAAAGTGTTCTCAAGAGTGCTGGTTGATTTTGGAGAGCAGAATCTGGGGCTCTAAATTCCAAGAAGAAGATTTGTCAGGGTGAGGTAGCAGCTTTCCGCCGTCTTGCAGGAACTGTGGGTGCTGTCCTGACTCCCGGGGTCGGGGTGGTGCCACCTCCCTGGTTCTCCCTGGAGACTCACAGCCCAGAGCGGCCTTGCTCAGCTGATCCACCTGCCGGTTAGGTCCATGCATGTAGGTGCGGACGTACTCCTACATAGAAAAGCCAGTGGGATGTGGGCCCCAGGAATCATGATGGACAGTAACGTTTTCAGGGAATCTCCTCTGTGCCATGGTTCCCCAAGTGTGGGCCTCTGGGAAGCTCTCAGGCCCACGCAGACCTGCCAGGCGGGGGTCTCTGGGACTCAGGCAGCAAACCTGGGTGTCAGGGAGCTCTCCCTGAGGGCCAATCTGAACTGCCCTCAGCCCCAGTCCTGCCCTCTGTTTCTTCTAGTCTTTGTGAATCTGCCTTTCCAATTAAATGATAATAATAATAAGTCAATTTCAGAGTCACATGCACACATCTTTCACTAGCTGGTTCACGCCCGATGGCTGCAGTGGTCAGGGCAGGGCTGAAGCCAGAGCCGAGGAGTTTCATCTGAACCTCCCGTGTAGGTGGCAGGGGTCCACGCCCTTGGGCCATCTGCTGCTGTCCCCGGCCGTCCACAGAGCTGCATCAGGAGCTAGGCAACTCGGACACATGACTGTGTGGGATGCCAGTGTCGCAGGTGGTAACTTCATGTACTACCACTCCTTGTTGAAGGATCTGGCCAAATCTCTTACCCAGCTTGTTGGTGAGTTTTTAAAGTTTGGATGTAGTGTAGACATAAATCTTTTGACAGGTATACACATTGCAGTTTTGTGCTGGAGGCTCCCCATCTTTGCAAGCTCAGTGCCAGCCACTTCCTCCGTGCAGCTGTGGCTGACTCTGGCTGCTGGTGCTGCCCAGCCCCACTTTGGCGTGCTGCCGGTGTCCTTGTCCCCACGACCCCCGGTGTGCAGCTCACACCCATGCTACGGCAGGTGTGTGTTTGCATTTTGCCCTGTGTGTGTGTACGGAATAAACATTGTTTATATTGGCGAGGGTAAGATTGTCTGTCTACTGGTTCAGTCCCCAAGTGGCTGCAGTAGCTGAAGCTGAGCCGATCCAAAGCCAGGAGCCAGGAGCTTCTTCCAGTTCTCCTGTCTAAAGGCAGGGTCCCAAGGCTTTGGGCCATCCTCGACTGCTTTCCCAGGTCACAAGCAGGGAGCTGGATAGGAAGTGCAGCAGCCAGGACATAAGCCAGAACCCATATGGGATCCTGGAGCATGCAACGGGAAGATTTTGCCATCGAGACATCTTGCTGGGCCTTCTCCCTCAGTTTGTCTGTAAGACATTGGGCCTTTTATCCTCAGGGAGCACACAGGGGACAGAGGTCACCCTCCCCCAAGACTTCCTGGAGCCGTGGGTCTGTGTTCTGTCTGGCTCTGAGCCATCCCTGCCTATCCAGAGGGCAGGGCGCAATAGAAAATTCCTTCCAGGACTTTCAGAAAGGGCAAAGCCTTCAAGATGTAACTGACTCTCTAATGGTGAACCATTCCAGGGCAGACAGATCAACACCTGGCTTGCTGCCAGCCCCGCACATGCGGCGTTGGCCCCAGCTTGGGCCTGGGCCTGAGACCTTTGCCAGCCGTGGGGAGAGCCATCTGGAGTGACCTGCCAGCCTTTGTCAACCACAGCGAGGCTCCTTGTAGAGAAAGCAAGGTTGGGGGCTGGCACTGTGGTACAGCGGGATAAAGCCGCTGCCTGATGCTCAGTATCCCGTTGTCCCAGTCGCTCCTCTTCCAGGACAGCCAGTGGCAGGGACAGTGGAGGATGGTCCCTCACACTGGAGTCATCTGATGAGTGAACCAGGGGGTGCTAGATTTCTAACTCTTTCAAATAAATAAACCTTTAAAGAAAGTAAGGATAGCAAGGTATTTGCCATGGCTGCAGTTCCTTTTTTCTTTGAATGCACACTTTACTTTAGAACAGTTTCAAGTGTACAAAGCAAAATCGTGAGGGAGTACAGAGTTCCAGCATCCCTCTCACCCATTTTCCCTTGCTCTCGTATTATACAGTCTGTTGCACCCAGGTTCCCCCACCCCCTTTCCTCAAGAACCCAGATGTCATCCCGTCCCCCCCCCCCCCCCCCGGTGCCTGGTACTGGCCAGCTGTGTTCACACAGTCTGGCGGAGGCTTTCCAGCTGTCACCCTGTCTGGGTTGTCTGGTGGAGTTGAAGAGGTTGGGACTTGTAGACTCAGAGTCATTGTGACCAGAAAACACGCAGGATCAGTATTTTCAGCTTTTCCACCTCATTGCTTCCATTTCCGAGGCCCGACAGGACTTTCTGACTCAGGCAACGCATCCCTCTCATGGGCTAGAGAATTTCCACTCAGTGCCCACGGCTAGAGCCTCCGTGTCCTCATCTTCACTCTGAGAAACTGAGGGCTTCTTTGCACAGGAATCAGCAACAAGTTATACAACGTGTGTGCTGAGGCCGAACAACACACCCACGGCTCTGATCTCTAAGATCAGGGGTCCTGATGTGTCTGAGATCAAAGTGAAATGAGAACGCAGGCTGCTTGGTGATGCCAAGCCACCGGTGGCTGTCTCCTCCCCTTCCCCCATGCCATTCTGTGCTCTCCTCCTCCACAGCAGGTACTGCCATCTGGCCCTGCAGTCCCTGCACACACACTACCTACCCACCCCCAGCCCCGGCTCCCGTGCAGGCTGGCAGGTACCCCGGCCTGGTCTCATGACCATGGTGCGTGCTCTCTGTAGCCCCTGTCAGATCCACTCCCAGCCCTGGCTCCTGTGCAGGCCGGCAGGTCCAGTGACTGCAGTTCACTCCAGTGAATGAGTTTCCACCTTTCTAATCTTGGGTTTGCTGTGACTTTCTTTGGGATCCTTCCCCCAGATGAATTCCGCAGGCCCAACAGAGTGGTGCCTTTCTGCCCAGGTGGTGCTGGCAGAACCGTCATCCCTTTGGGTTTAAACTGTTCTGAAGGAATAGACGGCTGATCCTGTCACCAGAGGACTAAGGATTTCTCTGGACGTTTGATCCAATCTGTGTTTTTATTTGATATGTAATTGGTGAGAAAATGGCAATGACAAATTTTGACGCTTGTGTCTCTAACCTTGTCACAGCGTCTGAGCATTCATTCATCATCATTATCTCGCTCTGCCGCAGCCTGCAGACTTCACAGGAAAGCACGCCCTGAAACAGATTAAAGCCACGGGGCTGAAACGGAGACTGGTCTGCCTCACCTTGGCCACGGACGACGTTGATCCAGAGGGAAATGAGAGCATCTGGTACAAGGGCAAGGTGAGTGCTGCGGGTCCCTGCTGCCGGGCCACACGGTTCCTGCAGCAAGCTCTGCCCGAGTGCGTGACTACTTATTTATTGGCGGGACTTCTCACTTGACAGTTAACGGAGAGGAAGACATGACATCCTGTGTGCTCTGTCTAAAGCTGGCAACCCTGCCGGCAGTGAGGAAGGTGTTGGTTAGGGGAGTAAAAGGACCCGTTGGTTGCATTGAGTTCCACAGAGCGCCTGAACCTTTGGGAAGGAGGCCCTTCTGCAGACCAGCAGACGCACACACGTGCAGGCATGGCGGGTGGAGCCCTCACAGGTACAGGGAGAGGCCGCAGCCCCGGGGTGCTTGGAGCAGGGGTCTTTGCTGCTCGCTCTGCAGATTGCACTGTGCCGTGTCTGCTCAGTGACGCCAGGGGCAGTCAGCCACCTCCTCGGGCGTCGGTGTCTCCTCTCCTCTCTGTGACAGTACACCCCAGGATGCCTTGGCGTTTGGCTACACAGACAGGCAGTTGCTGGGCCCCTTTGGGGCTCATCTGAGCAGGTGACTGCTGTGAGTGTCCTGGACATGATCCGGACCCAAGCCACCACCCTTCCCAGCCAGCTGCAGCACCTCTGCGTTTGCTTTCACTGTCTCTTTAGTGATAGGTGGGGAGACAGGTGGTGCCATGTCAGGCCTCAGCTTGCTGAGGAAACACAAGCATGGGCTGAGGAGGGGCAGACTCCATGCATGGCTAACCCCCGCCGACGGCCTCGATCGCACTGCACCGCCCCAAGGAGGGGGTGTGGCACTGGCTTGAGCTGCCTTGCTGGGGGCACTGGACGCCCCAAGCAGGGGGTGTGGCACTGGCATGAGCTGCCCTGTTGGGGCACTGGACGCTGAGTTTCTGACCTTTCCTCCAAGGCCTTGCTGAGTCCTGCAGTATGTTCTTTCTCTGCCCCTCCTTGATGCCTGGCAGTCACTCCAGAACTTGTCATGTTCCCCAGCCCTCCATCCTGGCACGTGTGAGTAGCAGTGGACCAGGTCAGACCCCACGAGGCTCTCACTGGGTGCCTGGGCTGCCCTCCCTGCCAGCCTGCACTGCTCTTCTGTTGGAATTTCCTCACCTCCTCACTTCCTCTTTCTTCTCCCTATCTCTGATTCAGACCCTTTGCTTAATCTGCATTCTTCCTCCGGTTTCAAATGTGCCCACAGTTGACACGCTTTGCACTGGTGATCAGCTCTGGTGTCTGGGCCTCAGGGAGATGCAGCCATCCGATGGGGTCACAGCTGGTTCTCGACTAATTGCCTTTCCTCCAGCCATGACACCTCCCCATGCCTTCTGTACTCCCCACAGAAATGGAGCTCATTTTCAGAGGTGCTTTGCGTTCTGCTAGGATTCTGCTTTGGTCTCTAGGTTAATCTGTCTTTAATCCAGGAGCCGGTAGCACTCATTCCTGTGGGTGGCTGAGGCAGGTGCCTGTGCAGTGAGTCTCCTGGGACACTGGGACTGGGGAGGGCTGGGGGAGGTGTCAGGGAATGACCAAGTATCCTGGGCCTCTGTGTCCCTCATCCCAAGTCCCTGCTCTGACTGGAAGGGAAAGGGGAAAGTTGCGTGTCCTGCCCAGGCAGCCAGTGACCTGCCAGGGACGCTTCAGCCGATGAGCTTCTCAAGGCCGTTGTTTTCATTTGCCGTCCTGGCCAGGGTGAGCTCAGAGGTCACATGGGAGCTCCTGGTGTGCGGTTTCGTAGAGGTCGTTAGGGGGCCTGGAGCAGGAGTCTGTACCAGGGGACTGTGCTGGCATCTCCATGTGCTCTCTGCCCAGGCAGCAGCATGGCCACTGGGTTGATTCACGCCCACAGGCATATGGAGCAGCATCCTACATAGCTGGCCGTGCTGGCTGGTGCCCGGAGGCTCTGAGCTGTGCCGTGCCATGCCGTGCCAGGGCTGGTAGAGCTAGCAGCATTCCCCTAAGTGCTAAACAGTCACCAGCAATTGTACCTGACCTTCTGTGGTTCTACACCTGCTGATTCAACCAACCATGAGGCAAAACATCTTTTAGAAAAAAAATCCAGGAAGTTCTGAAAGGCAGTACTTGATTTGCTGCGGTGTTGTATCCCTGTGGAAGGAGCCAAGAGCTGAGTTCTGGCGGTCAGAGAGTGCATGTAGCGATGAGGGATGAGGGACAGGCACGTGGCACAGGCCCGCGTCCATCCTCAGGATTGCACACTGCACACCGCTAGCGTGCTCTCACACGGATGTGCACTTCACTGGCTCTGAGGGTCAGAAGTTCACCCAACAGGGGCCATGACCAACTCTGCATGTGGGTCTCTGGCTTCTGCCCGTTATCTAGTATTGTCCTGCTAGTTGGATGACAGAAAAACATGTACATTTTAAAAAAATCTGTTTAGAGCTTAGTTATTTGGGAGAGGGTGCGGTCCCAGTTGCCTACAGGCTGGAACAGGACTGAAGCCAGCCACCTCTCCTGTGGGTGGCAAGGACCTGGCTCCTGAGCCCCCCTGCTGCCTCCCAGGGTACGTCAGCAGGAAGCTGGGCACCAGGGAGGGGTTGGAACGCCCACCCCAAGAAGGGGAAAATGTTAAGTTTAAAATTGAGATATTCCATCCTTCTGTTACCATATCTCCAGGTAGGAAACTGAGCAAAACAATGCCAAAAATTATGCCCCCAAGTGTGCCTTACTCAGAAGAGGAAGTTGTGGAGGAGCACAGGTGTGTGCCCTGCTGCACGTTCTGCAAGGCCACTTTCCCAGTTCCCAGGCTTGCCTGCCAGCCCTCTGGGTGCGGCGCCATCCCCAGGGTCCCTGCAGCTCGCAGCCAGGCGGAGCACAGGTGCCCAGGCTCATGGCTCTTGTCTTCCAGGTGGTCGGCAACACGACATCCGGGGGCTACAGCTATGGCATCGGCAAGAGCCTGGCCTTCGCCTACGTCCCTGTGGCGCTGGCCTCGGTGGGCCAGCAGGTGGAGGTGGAGCTGCTGGGCCAGAACTACCCCGCGATTGTCACACAGGAGCCGCTGGTGCTGCCGGAGCCCGTCAGGAGCCGGCGGCAGAAGCAGGGCGGGAAGAGCATGGGCTGAGAGCCTGGCACGCCTGGCCGCCAGCCCTGAGGTGAGGGAGGCTTACGGGAGGGTTCCCCATCTCCCTCTTCCCACGATTGTCTCCTCAGCGAGTGGACTCACGGACAAATGAATGGCTAATGTGTCTTTCCCAACACGTGTTTTGATTATTTGTTTGTTGTCGGCAGAGTGTGACGTGTTCGCTGCTGGATGTCACAGCTGAAGCCGGGGCGGACAGGGAACATCTTGATAGCTGACTGTGAATTAACAAAGGATCTTTTACGTAAAAGCAGCCTCTGGATGGGTTTGTCTCATTGAGGCATCTTTCCTTAGGTGACAGAGTGCTCATTTTACTATTTCCTGATAGGCCATGAAGCTAGTAAGGGCTTATTAACTTAGAAACAGCTCACATTTAAGTCAGCTCTCCAAAATAGTCATGATTTTATGTATGAGTTCTTGAGGGCAGCTGCGCGTTGCCCCGTCCTCTGGGCGTTTCAGAGCACTCACGGGGAGGCACAGAAAATGCCCGTGATCCTCACTCCCCGCCTCCGCAGGAGCCCGGGATGTTGCAGAGTTAGACGCTTCCGTGACTGTGGGCAGGAGGCTCCTTGGGGAGGGTCAACACGTGCTGACATCCCTGGTGCCCACCTGTGCCGCCTGCAGTTCACAGTGTGGTGGATCAAGGGCAGGGAGCAGGCTGGTCCTCCGCACTGTGTGGGGTGAGGGAGAGGCCCCTGAGGCATCTGCTGTGCCGTGTGGAATCTGGTAGGTTTGCTTGACTGAATTCATGCAGTTGTTCTGGTGAAAGGAAGTTTTTCATTTATAATCCACATATAAACATGTTATCCAAGATAAGCTGCCTTCCTGGGACATAAGACTGTAGTTAGACTCTAGAGCCTGTGGCTGTGGTATAGTAGGGTAAGCCTCTATCTGTGGTGCCAGCATCTCATATGGGTGCTAGCTTGATTCCCAGCTGCTCCACTTCCAATACAGCTCCCTGCTTAAATAATTGAGCCCCTGCCACCACGTGGGGGACCCAGAAGAAGCTCCTGGCTTGGCTCTGGCTATTGCAGCCATTTGGGGAATGAACCAGCAATGGAAAATCTCTTTCCCCATCTCCCATTCTATCTATAACTCTGCCTGTTAAATAAAAAAATAAATAAACCCTTTTAAAAAAGGAAGAATAAAGTAGAATGATTTCTTGGCATACAAGTCCTGGAAAGGAGCCATATTTACATTTTAGTTGCCGTGTCACGGTAGTCACTTGGAGGACTCATCCAGCTACTGCTGTCCTGTCCGTGAGCAAGGAGGCCTCCCCTTGGGAACAGCTGCTCCCTGGCTCTTAGAGGTGTTGGCCACCTCCAGGCTCAGCTCCTGAGGCCGCTGCAGCCCAGAGCCCGGGATTCCTCAGCTTCTTCCCTCGGTGCGGCCCTGGGACTGGAGGCAGACTCCTTTCTCTCTCCTGTCCCGTCCCGGAGTTTGGATGTCCTCGCAGCAAGCAGCGACAGTCAACGTGCACCATTGACTTCATGTCTTAGAATCCAAACCACCAGGCATGCGGGTGCACAGCAAGCCGTTGGAAACCCCAGCTATAAAGTCTGCTCTCATTTCCTTCAGAAGCTGCCCTCACTTTGTCCCTTGTCAGGCATGAGTTGCTGTGGGGACTTGTGGGTCACCCAGCACCCCGGGTCGGTGGCGCTGGCCTTGTCACTTGGCTCAGCATCAACCTCTTGGTCTGCTGACCAACAACAGAACTTAGCCACAGGTGAGAGTGAGTTGGGGCATTCAGACGTCTCCTATGGGGATGTGCACGAGGGGCCAACAGGTCAGTGTGGTTAGGAAAGAAGCTGGGAACTCCCGGGAAGAAGACCAGGTGCGCCCCCAAGCCCTCAGTTCTCAGGGGTGCTGGCCAGCCAGCTGAGGAGGACTCAGACAGCATGCCGGGAACTCCGTGGGCCAGCTGGGAGGCTCAGGGCGGGCTGTGAGCAAGCAGCAGGCACTGGGCCTAGCAGTGTTCTGGGCTGGCAGAGGGAGGTCCTCAGGGATGGATCTTCCTTCCTGAGCTGGGAGCACTCCTGCCATGGCAGAGATGCCCACCATGTGTTTCATGTGACTGAAACACATGGAGAGCAGTCTGTGCTTCTCTGCTGCTGATGTGAAAGAAGACGAGAACATGGCCGTTGAAGTTGCTGCTTGGGACACTGAGTAGCAGACAGGCTCAGGAATCTCACCAAGATCTTGTGCTTCTTCAGTGCTGTCCCAGGGCAGAGTTCCACCCGTGTAAGCACAGCCTTCGCTCAGCACCCCTGGCAACCACAGATGTCACCGTAATTGGATCTTCCTCCTCTTGGAACACTTGTTTATCAGAAAGGCATAGCTGCAGAGGGACACAGAGCAAGACAGAGACACCTTTCATCTGCTGGTTCACTCCCCAGATGGTCACACTGCTGGAGATGGGCCAGACCAAAACCAGGAGCCAGCAACTCCACCTGGGTCCCATGCGGGCACAGAGGTCCAAGCACGTGAGCCTCTTCTGTTGTTTTTCCAGATGCATCAGCAGAGAACTAGATTGGAAACAGAGAAGCCAGGATTTGAACCGGCACTCATACGGGATGCCAGCATCACAGTTGGCAGCTTAACAAGCTGTGCCACAATGCCGGCTCCAGTGTGTCTGTCTTCTATGAAGCTCCATGTCAAAGCGTCAGTTATGAGAGACTCACATCCTGTTCCACAGAGCCCAGGATCGTCCTGCCTCTGCTTCCTGTTCCAGCTTCCTGCTAATGCATCTGGGAAGCAGCAGTGACAGCCATGTCCTCAGCCCTGCCAACCCCATGGGGGCCGAGGCAGTCCCTGGCCTGCGGCTTAGACCTGGCCCAGGCCTGGCTGTTGCAGGCATTTGCAGAGTGAACCAGTGGGTAGATCTCCCTTTCTGCCTTTCTTCATTTTGCCCTCTCTTCCTGTAATTCTCTTTCAAATAAATACATAAACCTTTCTTTAAAATAGTTCTGCAGGGCTGAGAGACAGGAGCACCTGGGCACCCTGTACAGGACAAAAGGCGACAGGCAGTGCCACCAGCCACAGAAGCAGGCGTAGCTGGATGACATGAGGAGCTGGGGGGTCAACTGATGACATCAGCGATGCAGCCTCGCAGCAGTCAGATTTAGCCCCAGTCTGCCCCCCAAGGAGCCTGCCGCTAATCTGATCACTGGGGCAAAGCTGCACTAACCACTGTGACTTATCACATGATAAACACGTACATGATGACCGCAACAGCAGGTTAGCGCCTTTTTACGGGTTGGGGGGCTGGGGGAGAGGGTGCTTGTCTTTGAATGAGCCTTGTATTCTACATGGAGGCTGATGTGGTGCCCCCCTTTCCCCCACTGCCCTGTTGTGCCCCTGGGCTCAGTGCTCAGACTCAGGTGTGAAACGGAGTGTAGGCTGTGAGGGAGAGGGCATGGGCTGCCTCACGGACTATAACATGCCCCGTTTTTACCAAAGAGTTGTGCCAACAAAGCAGTGTAGGGAAATTCTTGCTGTGGCACAATGTGCTAGGAATCTAAGCTGTCACTTTTCAGTCAGCTATTGTCTGTGGACATAGGATACCAGATTAACTGAAATAGTACCATAGGCCATTCGCTCTGCAACATCTGGTCCTTTATGCTGAACGCATCACTTTCAAAGCCTGCCGGAGACACAAGCCAAGGTGCTGGCCTCGCATGCCGAGCAGGCAGAGCAGCTGTGTTGGGGAGCCCGCATCTTCCGCCTTCGCTAAAGCAGCCCATCGGAAGAACTTCAGAAACCTGACCATGGAGGTATGTGGAAAATTTTCATCTACAGAGATACTTAAAACTGGAATTGTTGACAAAGAAAAACACAGACAGTCCTGCAATTTTGGAGTTTGCTTGTTTGCTTTTTGAAGTCAAAAGAGAAAACCCATCTTCTTGCACTATCTACTCCTCCAGAGCTGGCCCATGCCAGACCAGAGCCCAGAGCTCCACGCAGGCGTCCATGGGCTGCGGGGACCCAGGCACGGGCCGGCACCTGCTGCTTTCTTAGGCATGCTAGTAAGGAGAGGAAGGAGCGGAGCGGCTGGTCCGGAACCAGCGCTCTGATGGGCCGGTGTCTCCGGCAGCAGAGTCGGGATTGTTTTATATGAAGAGGCAATGCCCTGCTTTATTTCCCAGCTGCTGGATTTTGAGGGGTGGATGAGGGTAGAAGGTGCTAAGTCCCGGGCAGGACGAGGGGAACGCAGTGCTCCCTTGCGTTGGCCGCTGGAGTTCTTGTCCAGATTGTCACCTTCACGGGCTGCAGGATTTCAGAGCTAAAAGCAATCTTCCTCCTGCCCCCCTCAGAACCTGCATTGCACAGGACACAGCCAACAACGGACTGAAGCTGCTCCTGGTGTGAGCTCGGAGCCTCGAGGGTTCCTGCCACTGGCGCAGAGGTCAGCCACGGGGCAAGCTGGTGGCAAGGGGACAGTGCCCCCTCAGAGGTCTGTCACCTGCAGGCCAGGGTACAGTGCAAATGAAGCTGTCCCATATCCAGCTCGCAAACTTTGTGGATCATCTTGAGATTAATGTAAGCATTGGCATCTAAGTGAGAGAACCTTAGGTCTCTCTCCCCTGCTGGATTGGGCAGGGTGGTCACAGGGCAGCGAGGGACACCAGCCCTAGTGGCCCACTCGTTCCTGCTGAGGTTGAGGTGTGCATCCGCAGGCGCCTCTCACGTCTCTTCTCCCCATCCCAGAAGCACTTCCTCCTGCCTCCACACTCCATGGTCGAAGGTTGTGCAACACAGTGTTGAAAATAACTGGGGCCTTGGGTGCTATCTTCAATTGCCAGAGGCTGTTGAAACACAAACAGCTTTGCAGAAGCATTGAAGCCCTCACATCCTGACTTCTGAACGTGGTGCTCAGCTGGGCAGCAGCTGGCGTGGACAGGGGTGGACTCTGCTGGCCGCAGGGCTGGAGGGCATAGCTGGTGTCTCCCCCTGCTGCCCTGGGGTTTATACGTGCCCCCAAAAGGAACCCTGTCAGAAGGACATCTGGTCTGGGGCAGGCATTCAGTGCAGAGGCTGGGAATGCCCAAGTGTACCTCCTGGGACCCGGCTTTGAGTGTGGACTTCACTTCTGATTCCAGCTCCCTACTCACGCACGCCCTGGAGGGCAGCAGGTGCTGGCCCAAGTGGCTGGATGCCCCCTGCTGCGGGCATGAGAGACCAAGCCATGGATCCTGGCTTGGACCTAGGCCAGCCCTGGCTGTGATGGACATTTGGGAGTGGACCAGCCGATGGGAGCTTGACCTGTTTATCTCAGGTTCCCTTTTTCTCCCTGGCTTTCAAAGTAAAGAAAAAGTATGAACTCTGATATTATCATTAATACTAGGTTATGGACGCACAGGCTTTAATTCAGGGGTCTGACAAGGTGCATGAAGTCACCGTCTTCCCTGCCCACAAGTCATCACCTCCCTCCCTCTCTCCCTGCTAAGTTAAAAAAAATCCTACTCTGTTTCATCGGTTCCACTAGAGATGAAAAAGGAACACATAAAGCAATCTTCATACAATTAAAAAAAAAATTAAGTCTGGGGCCCAGTGTGGTGGCCTAGTGGCTAAAGTTTTTGTGTTGCATGCACCAAGGTCCCATACGGGGGCTGGTTTGTGTCCCAGTGGCCCCACTTCCCATCCAGCTCCCTGCTCCTGGCCTGGAAAAGCAGTCAAGGACCCCCAAAGCCTCATGACCCCGCACCCCATGGGAGACCCCGAAGAGGCTCCTGGCTTCACGTCGGTTCAGCTCCCCTGCTGTGGTCACGTGAGGAGTGGACACAAGATCCTTCTTTCTGTCTCTCCTTCTCTCTGTAATTCTGAGTTTCCAATAAATTAATCTTTAAAAAATCGAGTCTGTAAAGGGGAAGCATTTCCAGGGGTTATGCGATTTTGTTTCCACCTGATGTTGAGCTCCCTGGAGGTGTTAAAGCGCAAAGGGGGCGGGTACCGGCCACAGGTACCGGGCCGGCAGGGGCCCAGCTGCTCCGTGCAGGTCCAGGAACCGGGACTGAGCCGAGCTCCCCGCCCCGACAGGTGTCTGGGGGCACACTGGCCGCATCCCACCCGGCTGGCTCCTCCCCGCGGCCCCGGGGCGGGGCGCGCCGGGCAGGGCCCGAGCCAGGCCGAGGCGGCGGGGAGGACGGTGCAGGATGGGCCGCGGCGCGGGGCTGCTGTCGGGGCTGCTGCTGCTGCTGCTGCGGCCGCCGCCGGGCTCGGACGCCGCGGCCAGCGCCCAGCCGCCGCACCTGGTCTTCGTGCTGGCCGACGACCTGGGCTGGAACGACGTGGGCTTCCACGGCTCGGACATCCGCACGCCGCAGCTGGACGCGCTGGCGGCCGGCGGCGTGCTCCTGGACAACTACTACACGCAGCCGCTGTGCACGCCGTCGCGCAGCCAGCTGCTCACCGGCCGCTACCAGGTACGGCGGGCCCGGGCCGGCCTCTGCGCACGCGCGGCTCTCCTCGCCGTGGCGTCTTCCGGCTCCTTCGGCTCCGGGCGCAGGGGCTTCCGGCCGTCCGGGTGCGCGCCGCCGTGTCCCCCGGAGGCCAGAGCGGCCCGGGCTCCAGGCCGCATCAGAACCCGAGGGGGGCATGAAGGCCAAGGGGAGCCCGCGGGTGCGGCCCTGGGGGACCCCCACAAACGGCACAGCCCTCGTTTCGTTTTTGCCCCGGGGTTCTGGAGCCCACCCACCCCGCCGCCCTGCCCTGCTTTCCCTCGCCGGTTCACCTGTGTGGTGCCGCACACCTCCCTGATTACAACCTTCACTCTCCACCTCAGCTGAACTGGAGCCTAAGTAACTTCATGGCCAGGTGTTCCACCCTTTCATTACTTAAAAACGAGAGGCCGGGAGGTAGAGCGTCTGTCCCTGGCGGGCTCCTCCTGGATGGGGTCGGGAGGGAAGCCGGGACCCAGGACTTCCCCGGTCTCTCCCATGGGTGGCAGGAACCCAGCGACCTGCTCCCTCCCGGAGCTTGGGGAAGCAGGACGAGAGGCCCAGTGCAGCTGACGGAACGCCTCCCTCAGCGCTGCTCCTGCTACCTGCTTTGTTGTTAGGTCATGGGATCCCACTAGAGATTGAGGCAGAGAGCCACGGCCGCTCCTGCCGCCTGAGCTATGGCCGCTGGCTCCTGGGGCCGGCAGTGGACTGGTAAGGGGGCATTATGTTAGGGGAGCAGGTGTGAACTGCTGTCTCGCTGCTGGGGGCTGATGTCGCACCCAGCACCCTCTTTCTGTTTTATTTATTTGAAAGTTACTGAGACAAGAAGAGACAGAGGGGTCTTCCAGCTGTTGGTTCTTTTTCAAATGGACACAAAAACCAAGCAAAGCTAATCTAAAGCCAGGAGCCAGGAGCTTCTTCTGGGACTCCATGCTGGTGCAGGGTCCCAAGGCCTTGGGCCGACCTCAACTGCTTTCCCAGGCCACAAGCAGGGAGCTGGATGGAAGTGGAGCAGCCGGAACATGAACCAGTGCCTATAGGGGATGCTGGCTCTTGCAAGGCAAGGATTTAGCCACGGAGCCATCGCGCTGGGCCCACGTGTGTTTTATAAGAAGGAAACTGAGTCTGGAGCAGATTCACAGGCATGGTGAATGTTGACCAGGATTTGCACCAGGCCCCACGGTTGTTAGTTATTAATTCACAATATTTATAGTTATACATTGCCCATATTAAATGTAGGTGCAAAAGAGTTGTTTGTAACTTCAGGCAGTAAAATGAGGAAATTTTAGAAAGAGCTGCTTACGAGTCATGTCTGTGAACTTGGCAGCCATCTTTCAGATTAATGTTTAGCGATGTTCTTCATAATTACCTAACTTCAGGTTACAGAAAAAATACAGGGGCTTATGTTGTGGTCCAGTGGGTAAAGCCTCTGCTTGCCAGACCAGCGTTCCACATTCGAATAATGATTTGAGTCTTAGCTACTCTTCTTCCCATGCAGCTCCCTGCTTGTGACCTAGGAAAACACTAGAGGATGGCCCAAATCTTTGGGACTCTGCACTTGTGTGGAAGACCTGCAGGGGGCTCCTGGCTCCTGGCTTTGGATTGGCTCAGCTCTGGCTGTTGCAGCCACTTGGGGAGTGAACTAGTGGACAGAAAATCTTCCTCTGTCTCTTCTCCTCTCTATATAACTGACTTTCCAATAAAAATAAATAAATCTTAAAAAAAATCCAGCTAGGCCAGGCTTCTCTGTCGTTGTTGGACCTCCTGGCTGTGTGCCCTTAGGGCTGGTCCAGCATACACTGCGGCCACCTGCATGTGGCTCGCTCTTCTGTGGGGCTCGCCAGCGTCTGTTATCGTCTGTCTTTGGTAGCAGCTGCTGGAGCCGCGGCGAGACGGTATCTGCTTGTGGTTCTGGTTTGCATTTCCCGGATGGCTGGTGGTACTGAGCGTTTGCTCATAGGTTTGTTGGACATTTGTGTCTGAGAAAGGCCGACGTGGCTCTGGCTAGCTGATCACTGTGTGTTGTTGTGGCTGCTTGGGTGTGTGCTTCTGTGTGCCGATGCTTTGTCCTGTGTTTTCGTTGTGGACTCAGTGTGGGTGCTCACTGCTGGCCTCTCGATTTATTTGAAGGTCAGTGTCGTTCCATCTGCTGGCTCACTCCAGAGGATGGTTCCAACAGCCAGGCCTGAGCCAGGGGGTGGCAGAGACACACCGTTGGGCCATCTGGTGCTGCTTTTCCCAGGTCGTTAGCAGGGAGCTGGTGCCGTGAACCAGCACCGTATGCACTGCTGCCCTCACACGTGGTGGCTGTGGTAGGTTCCTGGAGGACTGTGTCCATTTCCAGTCGGTCGGCGCCCCTCAGGATCTTTTGCATTACTCAGGTCTGCGGTAACGTGTCCTTTTCCAACCCTGATTTTGGTTGAGTCTTTTTTTTCCCCTTGTGATCCTGGCCAATGGTTTGTGCATTTTTTTTCTTTTTTTAAGATTTATTTATTTTTATTACAAAGTCAGATGTGCAGAGAGGAGGAGAAATAGAGAGGAAGATCTTCCATCCGATGATTCATTCCCCAGGTGAGTGCAACGGCCAGTGCTGTCCCAATCTGAAGCCAGGAGCCAGGAACTTCCTCCAGGTCTCCCACACGGGTGCAGGGTCCCAAGGCTTTGGGCTGTCCTCCACTGCTTTCCCAGGCCACAAACAGGAAGCTGCATGGGAAGTGGAGCTGCCGGGATTAGAACCGGCGCCCATATGGGATCCCGGCGTATTCAAGGTGAGGACTTTAGCCGCTAGGCCACGCTGCCGGGCCCAGTTTGTGCAATTTTTTTCCCGAATCTTTCAAAGTGCCAACTTTTTATTTTATTGATTTTTGTGTTTTTAATAGGATTATTTTTATTTGAAAGGTAGAGTTATAGAGAAAAGGACACAGAGAGAGATCTCAGCATATGGTGGTTTACTCCCCAAATAGCCGGCTGGAGCTGAGCTGATCTGAGGCCAACAGACAGAAGCTTCCTCCAGGTGTCCCACGCGGGTGCAGGGTCCCAAGGACTTGAACCATCCTCTGCCACTTTCCCAGGCCTTTAGCAAGCAGGGAGCTGGATCAGAAGTAGAGCAGCCAGGACTCGAACTGGTGCTCACATGGGATGCTAGTGACAGCTTTATTTGCTATACCACAGTGCTGACCCCTAAAAATTATTTTTAAAAAGTATTTCATTTTAAAATATTTAAATTGGAAGCTACATGCATGTGTTTTAAAAACTTGGATGTACCAAAAGGATCTACCTTGGGACCTTCCTTGCACACACACACACAGACACCTCCACAAGGTTCCTAACACATCCAGTTCCCATGTCTGCAGGCAGAGGGCGCTCTCTGAGCTGTTTGTCTGCCCTGCAGGTGTTGTGGCCTTACAAGAAATACGCAGATGCATCTACTCCCTCCTCTCTTGCTACGCTGATGACAACACATGCCTCAGGGTTTTGGACCTTACATTAGAAAATCATTCTATATTGATAAGCTGTAAATATAGAAGCATCCTCAGTTTTTATGGCCGTGTGATGTTGTGTCAAGTGGACATCTTGTCACTTGGTGATCTCCCACATGAGATGGACATGGATGTTATGTCCAGCTTGTCAGTGAATCCGAGAAAGCCGCTTTGCGCACGCTCCTAGGGGAGTTTCCCACACCGTGGGATTCCCTGGGTTTCCCAGCCTGAATCCAGCTTGCTTTGTCCAAGGGAGAGCAGTGATAATGAGTCATGACGGGTTAACACAATTAACTTAGGAAAGTAACCGTGTGCCCTCCTGCCCCGGGGGCCCCGGCCTTACAAGTTTGAGGCATCTTTTCTGTCAGCAGAAGAATCTGCCTCTGTATTCAGCCTGGACTGTTGAAAGCTGAAGAAAACATGGCTCGTGTGGATGCGTGGCCATGCGTGACAGCACCGGGCTCACCACGGTGCCACACAGGGTATCTTTAATGTCACTGTGGTGTCATAAGCCAATGGACAACCACCATGTCTTTATCGGAGCGGTGTTCAGGCGGTCCCATGAGCTCTGCACACTTTCCCTGCCACGCAGGCTCTGTGTCCAGTGATTCTGCCCAGCCGTGGGCCGCCCGGGAAAGACGAGCCCATGCAAGGTGTGCTGGACACGTGTTTGGCTTGACGGGTTGGTCAGCAGGGCCTCTGTAGTGAGCTGAAAGCTTTCTAGAATGGTGTGTGTTCCATGGCAATTTCACACCAGTCCCAGCAAGTGGCTGGTTCTTCAAGGCCATGTGGCCTGTACTGGTGTCGTCCACTCCCAGGCGATGGTCAGGTTTTTTGTTTTGAGAAGTTGAGGAGCAGGTGTGTGCTGTGGTCCCTGGGATGCCCATGTCTGGGTTTGATTCTTGGCTCAGGCACCTGTCTCCAGCTTCCTGCTGAGGTGCACCCTGGAGCCAGCAGGAGCTGGTGCCAGTCCTGGGGTCTCTACCCACATGTGGGAGACCTGGGTTGACTCTGCAGCCACTGGCTCTGTCCTGGCCTAGCCGCGGCTGTTGAGGGCGCTTGGAGAGTGAACTTGAGGGTGAGAGATGCTGGTCCATCTGCCTCTAAAACGAGTGAACTGTGTTAGGCGAAGCTGAGCATTGCTTCACATAGCAGGAGTAGCGTGACCCGTCCGTTCCTTGTGGCACGCGCCGCCCAGCGTTGTGGCCAGGAGCGGGCAGCCTTCCCTTGCTGGATGCCCTTTCCATTGCTGTGTTTTAAGTGGACTGTAAGAAGTCAAGTTCACGATTTCTAACATTGCCCTGCAGATCCCTCACATGCATCGGCTCTGTTGGTCCTTTGTTTCCCTGGGGTTCTGCTCCATCTCCTTGCTTGAATGAGTTAGGCCTTGGCCTTGGCACAGCCCTGGAGGCCAGCCCCGAGCAGAGCTGGGTGCCCAGGTCGCCAGGCTTTGGTCCACAGACATAGCTCTGTTTCTCTCCCTAAGATCCACACAGGGCTGCAGCATGAGATCATCTGGCCCTGCCAGCCTAGCTGCGTGCCCCTGGATGAGAAGCTCCTGCCCCAGCTGCTGAAGGAGGCCGGCTATGCCACCCACATGGTAGGCAAGTGGCACCTGGGAATGTACCGGAAGGAGTGCTTGCCCACCCGCCGCGGCTTTGACACCTACTTTGGTAAAGGCAGTGTGTGTGTTGTGGGGGTGGGGAAGGGGCGGGGTGCTTCTCTGGCTTTCAGCCCTTGGCAGGAGGCAGCGTGGGTAACACCCTTAGAACAGCATTTTAGGAAGAGGCTCATGGGTCTTTCCTACCTGTTTCCTTGAGATCTTTTCTGTTCAAGCTAAAAGCCAAAGCAGAAAAAGTACCGGGGAAATCATTTGTGTGGGAGCCAGGACCATGCCGTGGAGACCAATGGGCTAGTGCCTGGCTGGGCCCAGGTGCCCACTGCGCAGTTCACAGCATGCGCACGCTGCCCGTCAGGCAAGCCCCACTCTGGCTGACACTGCCAGTCCCATCCTGGCGTTGTTGCTGGATGTACTTGGACATACCCAGTGTTGTCAAATACCCATTAAAGTCAAGTGTGGGGGTGAGGCTCCTTTATGGCATCGGAGTTTCAGCATTTGCAGCTCGTCTGTCCTTTCCACCCAGGCCTTGCCGAGGGAACGCGCTGTGAGTATTCTGAGCTTTTGGCGAAAAGCCAAGGTGTGTACTCAGAAGTTCAGATGCACTAAGTAGAAAGGATTTCCTCTTATGGGAATTAATGGGAAATAAACTTAACCCATTCTTTAATGAACAAACATCCCACTTTTTTTTCCAGTGGGAATTTATTTGCAGGAGAGTGTAGGGGACCCCTTGAGGAAAGAGAGCTAATTGTGAGAAAAAAGGGAGGGAGAGGCGAAAGGCAAGGGGGCACTGCCGAGTTCAGCAGCCCTTGTGCTGGGTGAGGAGTACCCTAACCGGGGTGTTGTCTGGGCAGGGCTCAGTGGGCATGAGGTGGTCATGGGCTCCCTATGGGGTCTCCTTCCCGGTCCCAGAGGGGAGGCAGTGCAGCATGGGAAAGTCATCACCGTGGATCTGTGTGGGAAGGGTAGTTGCAGGCATGGCTTCCGGACAGAAATGGCTGTGCCCACTGCCTGTGGGGACTGGGCTGGGTTGGGCTGTGCCCACTGCCTGTGGGGACTGGGCTGGGTCAGGCTGTGCCTGGGGCGGGCCCCTGGCTCTGTGTTCTGGGCCGTGTGTTGTCTCTTCCACCAGTGGGTGTCAGCACCCTACTGAAGATGAGACCTTCCAGCTGTGCCCTGGAGGCGGTCCCCAGCTGGGAGCCTAGCAGCATCTGAATTCCATGTATGTGGTGTGGCCATGCTGAGTGTCACACCCCATCACATGAACTGTAAATGGTCTGTGCTGTGAGGCAGCTTTCAAGGATTAAAATGTTATTGCCACTTTCTCAATTTGAACTGAGATCTTTTAAATTTACTGAAATCTCTTCCTTGGAGAGTTAACATGGAACAGAGCCAGTCCTTCCAGCTCTGTATTTGTGGACGGCAAATTCTCACAGCTGGTAGAGATGTTAAGGCCAGGTGCTCTGGCTGGCCTCGTGGCAGGCGACCCTGGCGTTATTGGGTGCTGAAGCGGCCATTTGATGCAAGCGTCCCAAGTGGTGCTGACTGTCGGTGTGACTCTCACCCAGGCTACCTCCTGGGCAGTGAGGACTACTACGCCCACAAGCGCTGTGCCTTCATCAACGCTCTCAATGTCACACGCTGCGCCCTTGATTTTCGTGATGGCGAAGAAGTCGCAACAGGATACGTGAACCTGTATTCAACCAATGTGTTCACCCAACGGGCGACTGACCTCATCGCGGCCCATCCACCCCAGAAGGCAAGTCCTGGTTCCTGGCCAACACCCAGGCTGTGCTGGGCTCACAAGGTGGCACTGCCAATCCAGGGAGGATGGAGTGCTGCTGAGCTGTGTGCCGTGGGGTGCTGTGTGGGATCTGGCGGGAGGCATACCTTGCCACTTGGAAGGAGCTCTGAATGTCTGGTTCTGGAGGACAGATACTGTGCCAGTTCTGTGTTTCAGTAGAAGTCTGGTTTGCTAGTTTGGGGGGTTTGTATACTCCTAGCAATTAGCAACATGGCTCTTTTTTTGAACAATTGGTTTTGTCCATGATGAGAGTTGTTTTAAAAAATCATTTCTTTGAAAGGCAGAATGAGAGAGGAGAGAGAGAGACAAATCTGTTTGCTGGTTCACTCTTCAATGGCCATAATGGCTGGAAGTGGGCCAGTCCAAAGCCAGGATTCTTCTGAATCTCCCACACAAGTGCAGGACCCCAGGCCTTGGGCCGTCTTCTGCTGCTTTCCCAGGCCAGAGCAGGGAGCTGGATGGGAAGTGGGGCTGCCATGGTGTACATGAACTGGTGCTTGTGTGGGATGCCGGCACTGCAGACAAGGGTTAGGCTAATGTGCCTAGCCCTAGCCCTGGACCTTTTGCTTCTTTAAGAAGGATTTATTTGAAAGAGTGGCAGAGGGAGATCTTACATGTGCTGATTCACTCCCCAGCTGGCCACCTGTGGCTGGAATGGATCAGACTGAAGCCAGGAACCTAGATCTCCATCTGGTCCCCCCATGGTGGCCGGGGTCAGGCCCCAGGGCATGTTGGGAGGCAGGGTCCTGTGGTCATCTATACCTTGGCTGGCAGCTGCGGTAGGCTCCTGCTGGTGCTGTGGACCTGAGCACTGCCCCTCCCCCCTCCCAAAGCCCTGCTGTGTCATCAGGTGGTCAGTGTGTCCTGTGGCCTCCCTGCCCACGGCACTCTGTCCCACAGGCTCTGGGGTGCCTCTACCAGGGTTGGCAGGATCCCCATGTGACCATGTATGTGGAGCAGGGGCGGAGGCAGAGCTGACCAGTGTCTGACTTTCAGGGTGTTTTCCTATGGAGGTGACCGGCAACTGGAGTGTGGGCTCTGTGTGGGTGTTGTCACCATCCACACACCTCCTCCTCACTAGAGTAAGTCCTGATTGCCGTGATGTTGAACTGTTTTAAAAGTGTTGGCATTGGGAGAAGAGTACCTGTAAGTTCCTAAGATCTGATCTCAAATGCCCCATGTCTCCATGGATGTTCCTGGTCATGGGTTGTGTGATGCACCCTGTGATGTGTGTTTTCAGTGTGACCTGCTGGTTGTCTTGATGTTGATTTTAGCATCCGTCTTGCCCAAGCCCCCTCACGTGTGCATGTTCTCTTCACAGCCTCTGTTTCTCTACCTGGCGCTGCAGTCGGTGCACGAGCCTCTACAGGTCCCCGAGGAGTACCTGAAGCCCTATGACTTCATCCAGGACAAGAAGAGGCGGCACTATGCAGGCATGGTGTCCCTGATGGATGAAGCAGTGGGGAATGTCACTGCAGCCTTGAAGAGCCACGGGCTCTGGAACAACACGGTGCTCGTCTTTTCCACGGGTGAGTCTGTCTGCAGGATACCCCTCTTCCTCGCCACAGCCTGTAGTACCATGAAAACCAACTGGCTTTCTGACCATGGAAGTCACATGCGTTGAATGCAGACAGAGCAGAAGGGAGAATGGGAGATGAATTCATTATCTTGCGTGAAGCCGGTTCTCCATGGGCTCCTGGCCCCTGGTCCCTGGCCTGCATTCTGCAATGGCTCCTCCTCTCTCCAACACGACGTTCTGTGCTTCCCTGACAAGGCACTGGGGGCAGCTGTGAGTCCCGCCCTGCACTGGGACTGGGGTCCAGGGCCTGGGACTTGACGCTGCCAGCCTTCTGCTGCAGCTTCACCAGTGCCGGTGCTTGGGGAGCAGGCCTGGCCTCACAGTTCCTTAGGTGGTTTCTTGCTTTGTTTTGTTTTTCTTCTGTTTGGTAAACTTCCTTGTGACTATCGTGTGAGCTCTCTGCTGAATTTACAAACACATCTGTGAGCAGCTTTGTATCTGTATATGGGGGACTGTGGTGGGTATGGCGATGTGTGTGATGAGTAATCTGCATATCGCACTCGTGGTTTTTCTGTTGTTAAAGGATCTTACTGGGTTTTGAATCCAGCCTGGCCATTGCTTTGAGTGTTCGTTGAGCACTTACTACATGCGAGGCACGTTGCCGAGTAGGCGGCCTCAGTTAATTTACCTGGTTAGTACGATAACCGGTTCTTGGGGGCCTGTGGAAGGCGTGAGAGCCAAGGCAGGCCAGCAGGCAGCACTGCTGGTCCAGAGTGGGGCAGGGCCAGGTTCTGGTGCTGCTGGTGTGGAGCCGGGCAGGCCAGTGGGCAGCGCTACTGGTACAGAGTGGGGCAGGGCCAGGCTCTGGTGCTGCTTGTCTGGTACAGAGCTGGGCAGGCCAGTGGGCAGTGCTGTTGGTCCAGAGCAGGGCAGGCCAATGCTCAGTGCCATTGGTCCTGAGCTGGGCAGGCCGGTGGTCAATGCCATTGGTCCTGAACCGGGCAGGCCAGTGGGCAGTGCCATTGGTCCGGAGAGGGGCAGGCCAGTGGGCAGTGCTGTTGGTCTGGAGCGGGGCAGGGCCAGGCTCTGACATTTCTGCCCCCTAGATGGTGATCTTGTTGCACCTTCTAGCAGTGTTCGTTGCAATGGGCTGCAGTGTCCACCCCAGAGGAATCGCAGGGCTGTGCCCAGCATCCCCCCACCCCCTACCGAGCAGCCTGTGAGCTCTCTTTAGGTGCTATGATTTTCCCAGGTGTGCCTGCCTTGGGACGGGCTGGCTCTCAGCTGGAGTCAGTTTTGCCTTCGAAGCACCTGCTCTGTCCTGGACTTTGGCCCCGGTCAAGCATCGAGTAAGCAGGGAGGCCTCTCAACTGACCTCACTTGGGAGGTGGCTCACTTGGGAGCCTCTTCTGTGGCTTTGGACTTGCCCATCTCTCTCACGAAAGGACCTCAGAATGAGAAGAGCTGGAGGCCGGGAGGTGATGGAGCAGGTGTCTGTTGTAGAGACAGCAATGATTGTTTCAGAGCCAACACCTTCCTGAGATGAGAGCTCCTGCAGTGGGGGAAGGTGCGGGATGGGACGGGTGTATCATCTGGGGGTGAGGGGTGCCGGGACGAGCAGAAGTAGAGGTGGGGGCTCCACGGCCATGTAGCATCTTGGCATGGCTCTCCTGACAGCGCATCAGGGCGTCGCAGGCTGCATGGGGAAAGGTGCAGTGTAGCTCTCTCATGCTATGTGAGAATAGAAAAATATTCCTAGGTCAGCATTTCCTTTATTACATGAGCTCAGAAAGCTGTTTTAAAGCAGTCGACGTTTCATAAATAAGCACAACGCTTTGTTTATTCAGTTGGCTGAGCTAATACTGCATGTCTCACTGAGAAAGCCAGGTGACCTTGGAGCACGGTGGTCTTGCACTCCGATGCCGTGTTGTGTTCACAGAGCTCTTGTTCTGGGGACCTCTGGGCTTTGTTAGGCTGAGCCCACCACGCACGTGGCCGTCTTCGGGGCTCAGCTGTCTGCAGTGTGCTCAGGTTTTGTTTAGGATTCTTGGGACAGTTCAGAGGCAAGCCGAGGTCAACGAGCTCTTCTCCATCCTGACTTCTTTCCCTAAGACGGTTTGCTGGTTGGTCTTTGATTTTTGTATGTGTGTGCTGGAATGCTTTACGTGATGCTTGGAAGATCTTCCTACTTAGACTGATTCCTGGAAAACTGTTTTTTCTTATTTAAGATGTATTCATTTATTTGTAAGGTAGAGAGAGTGTGGGCAAGCAAGTGCTTTTCTGTCCACTGGGTCACTCCCCAAGTGACCACAAGGGTCTGGTCTAGCACAGGGTCAGCTATGAGCCGGGGGCTTCATCCGGTTCTCCCACGTGAGTGCAGGGTACATTAGCAGGGAGCTACATTGGAATTGAAACAGTGGGGACTCCAATACAGCAGACTGCCAGAGCGGCTTCATCCACGGCACACAATGCTGGCCCCAATCTGGGAATTTCTCTAAAAAGTATCTCTGTTGTATAATTTTTTGGCACAGTTATGTCTGGGTGTGGGTCTAGAAACATTTCCAAGTGAGTTTTGCCGGAAGACAGCAAGCCCTTTGATCCGAGCCTGTCCTCCCTTGCAGGGAGCTGGCCCTGACCGAGTCCCGGCTGCCCACTCTGCCCCACCTGGTTTACTCCTGAAGGACATCTCCCAGTCACAGCCTCCCTGCTGCTCTCCGCCACATCGCTGCTGTGTCTCAGTGCAGTTTCCTTTCGCTCCTTCAGTGTCTGGGGCGAAGGCGGCTGCCGATGGCCTCAGGGGATCCCGATGAGCTCTCTGGCACACTGCCCACCTTAGATGGAGCGTTGGCTGCGGGTGGTCTCTGTTTTGTTCTGTGCCCTCTCAGTTACGGAGGGGACACCACTGTCGCTGGTCACCGTGCCCAGAAAAATTCTTTCTCTGCTCACCCCTGTTGATTTTCTGTCGGCGTCCTGTGTGTTGGGACACTGCTGGGCCTTACTGCACCGTCTCCTCTCTGAGCCCCTGGCTGTCAGCCCAGTTTCCTGGCTCCTCTTACATCCCAGGGAATATGACCAGGAGCTCACGTGGTTCATGCCATGGCGCTGGCCCCTCTCTTGTAGCTTTTGTTCCACCTGTCAGGAGGCGATCCGGTTGGACTTGTGTGCAGTCTTGCTCTCTGCTTCCCACAGGAGTGCTCCAGAGCTGGCTTCGGTGAGGTTCCGGGCCCGCTCCTCCCCTGTCTGAGTCCATCTGAGGTTGTGGTGGCTTCCTGGCTGGAGTGAGGCCTTCCCGCGGCCAGCTGGGGACCACTGCTGGCTCCATGCACCCTGTTGTGGCTGGGAGGGCCTGGGAACGCCAAGCCTCCGTCAGGGGGCTGCCCCTTCTTGGGGTTTCAGAAACAAGAGATCCCCCCTACCAATTCTAAAACCAACAATGAGAATGCGCTGGAAGGAGCCCCAACCAGTCTTCCTGCTGACTTTGGCGTTGTTCCTGTGATTCAAAAGCCTGCATGTGCGGTTCTGCTGCCCAGCCCGCCGGGATGCCCCCTGCGCTGGAGCTGCCCTTGGCCCCCAGCGTGCCCCCGTGTGCTTCCTTAATGAGAAACGTTCCTGAGATTGCCAGCACTGCAGGCCTTCTTGGAGTTGTCTTTCACACCACAGGCCCCCAGACGGTCCAGTGTCATTTCTTGTTCCCTCTTTGAAGAAAGTAATTTCCTTCCCCTGACTCTGTGTGTATGTGTGTGTGCACACGTGTGTAAAGGATTGTTTCACACAGTGGAGCATCATTGGCATGAAAAATGACAACCTCTGTTGGAGGGACTACAAAAAATTGACCGTCCTAAGAACAGCCTGCGATCGGAGGGATGTGGGGGCACTGGGATCCCACGGGATATGGGGGGTGGGGTGCTGTGTTTGAGATGCTGTGTCCTGCTGGAAGCCCCTCTCTGCTGCTGCTATTTGTTTTTGTTTGTTTGATTTTCCTAGGATTTTATTTGATGGGTGGTGCTGTGGCACAGTGGGGAATGCCCCTGCCTGCAGCACTGGCTGTATCACTCTCACTTACTGCTGATGGCCTGGGAAAAACAATGAAAGTGACCCTAGTGCCTGGGTCCCTTCCACCCACGTGGGAGACCCAGATGAAACCCTGGGCTTTGACCTGGCCCAGCACTGGCTGTGGTGGCCAACGAGGGCTGAGCCAGCTTGGAAGATCTCTCTCAGCATCTCCCCCTCTCTCTCACACTGCCCTTCAAATAAATAATTTTTGTAAAAAAAAAAAAAATTACTGTGTCATTCTGAGAAAATGACTTTTCTACTGTTAAAAATATCTTACTCTTTATTCACAAGTTTTCCTTGATACTAATAGAAACACTCAAGCTGTTTAAAGATATATTTATTTGAAAGGCAGACTATCAGGGAGAGAGGGGAGCGAGAGAGAGAGAAAGAAAGAGGAGAGAGAGCGGGCACTTCCATTCTCTGCTTTACTTCCCAAATGGTTGCAACAGCTGGAGCTGGGCTCATCTGAGGCCAGGAGCCAGGAGTTTCTTCCTGGTCTCTGGGGTGGCAGGACCCCAAGCCCTTGGACAGTCTTGCACTGCTTCACCAGGTGTGTTAGCCCACCTGCCTGAACTGATATCAGCCAGTTCAGCTAGGGTCATCTCAAGACTGACCGAGCTTGACCCACAGCTCGGTGACACGTGTTGGATGCTGTGACAGGCCACATCAAGGAGTGAGGAGTGGTGACTGCTGGGCTCCTGGAAGTCTCCAGGTCTTCTTTGCTTGATCAGAACATCCCTCGCTTTTCCTTAGCCCACCCATGTGACACAAAGCACCAGGCCAGCCCCTCTGCTCCGGCGGGCTGCCCCGTGTGGAGGGTGCATCTCTGCTTTCTGCACGAGGTGGCTGGGTTCGCTGTGCACGCTTCTCCAACCTGCTCCTTGTCCTTGGAGCCAAGCACCTGCAACTGGGCAGTGCTCACTGTGCAACAGCCGCGCACACAGGTAGTCTGAGGCC